CCGGGGTTGAACTGGGAGATTAAAAGGGTGTGAGCTCCCTGGTCAAGAACCCTTACAGTGAGTCCTTATCTTGTTATATCTGTATGGAAAACACACAAGGGATGACGCAGGAGCTGTTAATCATAAGATATATGGTATATCATCCTGCTCCGAAATCAAACACATCCTACTTTAGATGTTCAAAAGCATGAACGTGCATGACGGGACCATTCATGTGTAGAAAAGGGAAATTGCACAAACTTCTAGGTATATACATGAAAACTAACATGGTTCAAAACATTCCCTCCCCCCGCCCTTCTTCACACCTCTCAAAGCCTCGACTGTCCCGCCTCTCCACCGAGTGGCTTCTCAGAAAACGACCCAAAGAATTCATTGAGTGCATCCACAGTCCCCGATCCCTCCACCAACTCCACCACGCAAGCAACGTGGCCATCGGGCCTGACCACAACAACACCACCCCGTTCAGCGTCCAAGCCTACTTTTGCGTGAAACGGCGCTAGCGCATCGGGTACAAACCGATCGGACCGATCATCAGCGTAAATATGGTGTGAATACGCCTGGAAAGTGCTTGGCAAGGCTGAAATCTCAACCTCTTCTTTCTGATTAGCAAAGATCAGACAGAGACTGAAGAATCGCGAGTGTGGATTGTGACGCTCAAAATAGGACGCAGCTTGGTCGGCAGGCCGGGAGTATGTGGAGTAAAAGGAGCGAGACTTTTGAAGATTGGCGTTGAAGTCGGCGAGGGCAGTCTTGGTCTTGTTAACGTCGCCGGCCAGGACGAAGAATCTGAAGGAGCCGTTGGTGGGGATTTCTTGTTCCAGGGCAACGCGGTTGAAGTCGAGGACACGGGTTACGGTGCATGTCGGAAGAGCGCGGCCGGGGACGACTTTGACGCCCTTGGGGTGGAAAAGAGGGGATTTGGCGGGGTGGGCTGGGGACCAGGTGAAGATGTTTGGTTTGTAGGCGACGCCATAGCCGCTGGTGAACTCGCAGGCGGATTTGAAGGCTTTGACGAACTCGTTGGTCTCATCTGACTTGGCGCGCCCAAGAGCTGAATCCACCTCGCCGACTGAAGGAATGCGAGTGGAAAAGAGTTTGGCATACTTGGCATCAAAGTCAAGGAGGTTTTCGGCAATCATCTTTCGCTCGGATTCATAGGTGGTGAGGATATCACGCTTAGCCATTCCCCCTTCTACGAGATGGATTTTCCATGCAAGGTTTAGTGCATCGTGGAATGCAGTGTTCATGCCTTGGCCAGCTTTGGGCTATTGATTGCTAGTCAGTAGTGAATGTGTATGGCGAGGAGCACTGGGACGTACGCTGTGAGTATGGCAAGCATCGCCTCCGATAAATACTCGGTGGTCCAGAGTATACTTTTCTGAAATGCCTTGGCCGATGGGATATACAGAGTACCATTCAATGCGATCCCAAGTGATGTCGAATGGCTTGAAGACTTTGACTGCAGCTTCTTTGACTTGGTCCACAGTAGCGGTCATCCTTGGGTTCCAATCTTTGTCTGTGGATGAGGCTAACTGGACATACAAACGAACCATGTCATCTTCCCGAGGGATGACCATGATTGAGCCGTGGTCAGAGTGAATGGTGCATTTCGTCTAGCACATGGTCAGCAACGTAACAAGGACAACGGCGGTTTGCACGCTCACTTTGATGTCTGGAAAGTTTGTTCTCACAACACCATCCATCACACCCCATACGTGCGCAATGGGGTCTTTATGCCGAATGCCAATGTTCAATCGTTCTCTGATGAGACTCCGGGCACCCTCCCCTCCAAAAAGATATTTCGTGCGTACGGTTGTACAGACGTTGGTGTCAATATCTTTCAGCTCCACCTCAACTGGGAATTCGGCATCTTTCCCGTTATTCTTAAAATCAACAATGGTTGAAGGGCGCTCGACCACCGTCCCGGCCTTTTCGATTTCCTCCAAAAAGACCCGTTCAATTTTCCCCTGGTGCAGGAGCGTTGTAAATGGATAACGCGTATCGATGAAATCTGGGCAGCTGGGCCAATTTCCAGTGCGCCCGATTCCTTTTCCGTCGGGCAACGGGTCCCAGAAGGCGACGTTGTAGACCTTTGCAGGTTCGTACGCCATTAAGCTGCGCTTGAGCCCTAGATTTCGCAAGATCTCCATGGACCGGGGTTGGATTCCATCTGCGCGGCCGGTTTTGGTGGGCACGGGTCGGTTGTCGATGTGCTTCACTTTATAGCCCCATCTGGAAAGGCAAAGGGACAGCAGGAGGCCAACGGGGCCGGCTCCCACGATCACGATGTCGTACGTCTCTTGCGGCATGCTTCTCGACGGGGAGAGAATAGTGGAAGATTGAGTATTCGACCAGATTCTTTCTTGTGCACTCAAAGCCTCAGGAAAGCAAAGGAGGAACGACCACGCTATCCTCCGCGAGGATGACGACCTATAAATATATCAAAGCCGCGAGAAAAGTGCGCTTTGGGGTGAGATTGGCGTGTCGTGAGGACACGGCAGTGACAGCGGCCAGTGATGAGGTCCATGGTCACGATGAAGTCGCAGCTTTTGTGCTCGAAGGTGGTACCTTCGGCGCATTCGCCAGCGAATATCGGTACTCCTCTCTGGGCTCGGGTGGGGATCGACCGGGCTGCTGGCTCTCGGAGTTCAATCTCGGCCTCACCCAGCGGCTTAGTCAGGATCCCGGCTTGCCCAGGCACGGGCTAAACCTGACTGGGCCGCCAAGACGAACGCTTGGCCGGATGAAACAATTGCCGCCCGTGGAAGGAGCGCCAAGCTCACTCACGTGACCGACCGGCATCCCACCTCCCCCGCGCCTGCCAAAAAGTTCGGTAGATTTTAGAGTTTCCCGCCGCGCTCTCCGCTCTTCGCAACCTCACCTCATCCCTTGGCTGCGGAGTTGCGAACGGCAATTCCCTTGCACCACGATAGATGGCGATATACAAGGCCTTGATTTCTTTTGATGTCTCTGCGTTTAAAGGGTCTCAAAGCAAACTGAAGCACTACCTTTGTCAAGTTTCGATTTCGCCATCGACTCTTCAAATAGACCTACTAAGGCTATGGCGCTTGACAGTGAACCATGTCAGGACATGTTGATTTTGCCGCAATGTGCATTTGCATGCTCTATGCTTCTGATATCAGAGCGTTAAGCAATATGGAATGGCTCTGGAATACCGAACAGAGCCCCAGCACCTATCAGATGTTTTTGGTATACATTCAGATATGCGGAATTTTCCACACATCCAATCCTGCGAAGGATTGCTGTTTCTTTTCTCTTTTACTCTATTTGGTCGTATAGCATCAATGTATCATTTCATTTTACCGTTTAGACCCCATTCATCGCAATTTGGGACTGATGTTGCCCAAGTAAGACTCTAGAAACGCCTCTCCAATTCTCTGACTGTGTCGACACACTGGATTGCCAGTCTTGGTTTCCTTACGCTGGTCTGCCTTCGTTCCAGCTCTGCTTGCTTGTTAGGTTTTCAATACGGTACCCTTGGCCAGCGCAACTTGGCACATTTCAGGTCCGCCTGACAAGCTTTTTCTGCGCTATAGTGTTTTTCTTCTCAATGTTTTGAATGGAACTGCACACATGGTTGCAATCAGCATGGTGCTCTACTGGTAGATATCTATTGATGCATTCAGTGAATCAATTCCTGTGAATACGTCGGTGCTCACAATAGCTGCTTTGGCAAATTTTAAGCTACTGTTACTGATATTGTGAGGATACTCATTTTCTTAAAAAAAAAAGAATACCACATCCAAGAAATCCCCTAGCAACGGAAACCTATGAACTCACAACAGGAGCCACTCCGCCCAGATTCTGCGACCACTGGTTCAACTACTCCATCCCTTTACTCTCAGTCTTCCGCTTCTTCCTATAAGTCTCAAAGAGATATCCTTCGGCACCTCACACGCGAGATCTCGAATTTAACCCACCAGTCCACTAAACATCCTCCAAACGACCTAGATCCTCTGAAGTTTGACCCGCTGTCCATGGAAGTACCAATAATGTATAACGCGTAAGTTCAACGGCTCGACAAATATATATCTTTTGCTAACTGTGTAGTGGACATTCGTCATTTGGCAGCAACACGGACTCGAGCCGTTCGACAGGCCGCGACACACTGTGGCAGAATGCCCCAGAAATGGTTGCTATTCCTGGACCAAACGCATTCCGTTCTCAAGCACAGTTGAATAAAGGTCCTGCGAGGCTTCCACAGTCCCGATCGGAAGGCAATGTAAAATCTTTAGATCATTCCAACCGCGAAACTGCCGGTCTCTCCGGTAACTACTTTCATCAATGGTATCCAAGTGCTAGTTACTATCCGGACCAGCAGGAAGAGCAGTGTGAAACACCTGAACAGGCAAGGGGCCGCAATAGATCGCGTTCTCCCGTGAAAGTCCTCGAAGACTTGGATGAATACGAAGAAATCGCGTATCTATCGTCCCCTCGACGTCGATCACGTTCTCCGCACAAGAAGCTCTTTGGTGAAAATGGCTGGCTGGGCAAAACGCCAACAATTGAAAAGAGGAAACCTGGCCTCAAAGCACTCGGTGAAAAGATCAGAAAACGCGTGGAGGATATGGTGAGTGGGTATCTTTCGTTGCTTGCCGCTGCGTATCTAATCCTGTTCAATGCAGACCGGAGATGTTATAAAATCTACATCTACAGCTTTCCACACAAAATCATCAACACCGGCCACTTCAACCTGCCCGATATCTCTAGACCCGCCGACCCAGGCGAAACTATACTCGGAGCTAGAGCTTATGATTTGTGCCACCGCAAATAAGTTTCTTATGAGCCAATATCACCAGGGGCGCATGTCCGCAGATTCGGTAACCAAGGTCATGCAGTTCTGGATCTCGAAAAACAGACCGCAAGTCCGCGAGTTTCAGTTTGACCAAGCCACTCAACGGGATCTAATTCTCTACAATATCGAAAATTTTGCCTTCCACGGAGAAGCAGCTAAAGACATGGTTATCCGAAACGCTGCCATGCTTAACTGGAAGATTATGGCCAAAGAAATGAGCGTTCGCACGTTCTGTTACCCGGATAGCGTGATCAGGAAGCATATGCATGATGCACATAAAATACTTGAAATGCTTGGTGCACAATGCGTTGTGTTCCTTGCCTTTCAGGAGCTCCAGGTGAACTCTTTAACCCTAATGAAGCAGTATCAAGAGGCGAAAATCCAGAATAGCCGGGAACATGGCATTACGAAAGAATACCACCCTCCAGCGCTCCCTTGGGGTAAATAGCATTGCCAAAGGTGGTTCAAGGGGTCACTTTGAAGATAATGCCTACATGAAAGCTGTTCGCTATGATATTTTTGGTGATGCTTGTGTTAATGGTTTATGGCTGATTTGTGTGACTCGCAGTTTGAGGCGCCAGTGTGAAGGCTTGGGACACTCGTTTGGCCGTATGATGATATTCTGGCGTATAATCCAAAAATTGCTGTTCCTTCTGTGCGCGCTCTCCATGTACTCCGTAATCATCTCTCAATCAAGTTTGATAGAAGCGCCAAAACAGACTTTGCCTTGTGAATCCGTCACGTTCTAAGCGACGTCACTGCCAAGACGCCAAGCCTGAGCTTAACCTTACGTCCACCCATGGCGGAAAGTCAACGTTGGGCGATGTTGTTGGCTTCGTCCGGTTGAAGATTTCCATTGAACCAGCATTTATTTCAGACTGAGACACCTCGCTGCTCAGGTGTGCAAATATAACTTGCATGCTGCTATTCACCTTGTGCTTACGGTGTTGCTTGTGGGTTAAATAGTCAATGTGATCTCTGCTCTTGGAGCGAAGCTTTAAAGCTACCTCAACGCATGTCACTATTTTAGATAATGTCGTTGCCTGTCCCTGGCCTGAACCAACTGCCAGCTTTTGCAGTCTGGCCTCAACTGAGACATTTTGCTGGATGATAATTGAATCTGCAGATTAATTTCGAGCGGGTTTTCAGTCAAGAATAATGCGAGAATGGCAGCTCCAGCGCATACCTACGGCCCAGCCTGCCTCCTTTACGAACCACCAGAACAGAGACAGACCCGCCCAGATCCGAACACAGAAATCCTGAAGCCTCCGAAGATACGAGTGCAGTACTTTTACCTCTCGTCGTTGCCCATTGACGACCCGCTGACGGCGGTTCCAATTCCGTCAGGCACCGCCGACGCTTCCAAATTACCACCTAGACCGTTTTCAGTGCATGATAATATTGCTCTCGAAAAAGCATGGCAGAGTCTGCGGAGTGTAGGTGAAGAGGAATCACATAAGGATCGAGATGAGATTGAGGACGGGTTGCGATCAAGTCGCAGATTGACTGTCCGCGGGAAAAAGAAGGAGGAAACGGCGAGTCAAACCTCGGATCCCAGAGGGACACCAGAAACTGTGGTGGGGCTGTCTTCAAGCTTTCCCGCACGGCAAACTGGTGGTGGGAGTTCCGATAACGATGACTTCCAGGAGGGGAATTCCTTTAATGGCCTCAAGGATGACGAAGATGATTCCAATGCCAATAGGCGGATGGCGCGGGAACGAGGCTCTTCTAACGCTTCTGAGCTCGGCAGCTTTCGAAAGCGGCGTAGTCTGCCCATTGATCGAAAATCGAAGGCATCAAGGCGGAATAGGCATTCGTCTCCGGGCGGTTACGAAGATGGCTCCGAGGAAGGAAGCGGGCGTTCGAGTCCACAAATCATCAGACATTCTGATGACACGAACATTAGTGGGTCTCCGTTTATCAGAGCACCTATTCGGGATCGAGAAAATCGTCGGCCGACTCCAACGCTCAGGTTAAGTAAGGACTCTATAGACACAAACTTTATGCGCGGCCAAATGGCGGCTTCTCCGAATGCAGACGGTGACAAGAGACAAGACGGTGATAAGTCTGAGGATTTGGAGAACACCGAACCTGAAATCACAGTGACAGTCGGGGCATCACGGCTTCATCTCGTTGAGTTTCCTAAGTTGGAGGTAATTTATCATTTCATCCTTCCTTGATCATAAATCTAAAATTTGGAGTAGATGAAACCTATTTATTGGAGCCCAGTTCATGATATATCCCGGGTTGTCAGAGCCACCTGGTTCTACAAAAACTCGATGCTTCCTGTGGACCCTGAGGTTGCTAATCAACTAGAAGCTGGATATATGTACTTGAAGCCGTGGACAGAGACGTGGCAAGATGAATTAAACAGCTGCGTTGAAAATGGAGCAGAAGCGGAAATGAAAATTGTTCACAAGCTCTGGCCTTCGGAGAATCCGAAAACACCCACGAGACCAGCTAGCCAGCTTGGTTCAGAGGCGGGAGCGTCTGTGAGTAGTAACAAAAGTCACCATTTTCGAGAAAATTATGCAGCCGGCGCTATATCCTCTCCCGAAGCTAGCGTAAAGCTGTTCAAGAACTCCAGTGTGGTGTATGTTGATTCCAAGGAGGCTCAGCTACTCCGGCCAAGTTTGTTGCCATCAGTTTCCAGCGGCCGGCGACCTTTGAGTGCTATTCGGAAAGGGAGACAGATCGGAATCGCTGTTGTTCGAGGATTCGACCGCCTAGGATGGGATAAACTTCATCCTCCAAAACTTGTTTCAACAAATGTACGGAATTTTATGAAGATGCATCAAGCCGCAACGAGAGCGGCAAGTTCTCGTCGACAGATTTGTTATGCTTGCCAGATGGAAGAGAGACAGCCAGGGGTTGGGGATCTAGTTTTTGTGATTCATGGGATTGGCCAAAAGTTATCGGAAAGAGTCGAAAGCTTCCATTTTACGCATGCTATCAACTCGTTTCGAAGACAGGTCAATATTGAACTCAATAACAATTCGGTATGGCCCAATATGCGTCCGGACTTGGAGAACATTATGGTCCTTCCTATTAATTGGCGCTCAACCCTTTCTCTTGAAGACACGGACGTCGAAGAGGCGATTGAGGACCAGCCAAATGCGAATCGTTTCTCGCTCAAAGACATTACCCCTGAAACTATTCCGGCTGTTCGAAATCTAATCAGCGATGTGATGCTTGATGTCCCATATTACCTCTCACACCACAAACAGAAGATGGTCCGCGCCGTCATCAAGGAAGCCAACAGAGTGTATAGGCTTTGGTGTCAGAATAACCCGGGTTTCCAGAGGAAGGGGAGGGTACACATCATAGCCCATTCACTCGGAAGCATCATGTCAATGGATATTCTCAGCCAGCAGCCAACGCGATTGCCGTATATTGACTTCTCCAAGACCGAAATAAATGAGACGATTTTTGAATTCGATACTAAGAATCTTTTTTTCTGCGGTAGCCCTGCTGGGTTCTTTTTACTGCTCCACAAGGGTTAGTTCAACTGTGCAGATAATACTGAATGACGCTGATTTGAGGTAGCAAGCCTATTACCGCGCAGATATCGAGACAAGCCCGATTGTGATGAGCATGATGTTGCCGATCCTGGCCTCACTGGCGAGTCGGGGGCTTATGGGTGTTTGGCAGTTGATAATCTCTACAATGTCATGCATGAAACCGATCGTAAGCGACTGCCCTTGAGTCTTGAATTCCCCATGCTAACTGTGACCTAGCCATTGCCTATCGCCTTAATGCCGCTGTTGATAGTGACCTTGCAAACTCCCTCAAACCCGTGTCTGTTCCGAGCTCCTCGACGTCTTTATTCCAAACAATAGGCAGCGTTTTTCGATGGAGCTCCAAACCACAGTCTACCACCATTGAAATCCCCGCCCAAACTGCCGCCGCATCCTCCACCTCTAGCCATCAACTTCCTCAACAACTACGACCAGGTTTATTCACCAAACTCCCGTCCACCATTGAAATGGACACTCATGACTTTACCCGCGAAGAGATCGCCGAAAAACGCATGCTTCTCCTCAACGACAACGGGCAAATTGACTACTATATTTCTGGCGGTGGTGGGCCATTGAATATACAATACTTGAACATGTTGAGCGCACATAGTAGCTATTGGATCCTGCCGGATTTTGTGAGATTTATTGTTGTCGAGATCGGAAGAAAAATGGGCAGAAGCGGGACATTACTAGCCCTAAGGGCAGAGAAGAAAAAGGGATGGAAACGGAAATGATTACTGGTGTTGGTAAGATTCGGCGTTCTCGGGCCTGATGTCTAGATATCCGCCATTCGTGTGATAGCCATTTCTTTGCGCCAAAAGTTAATTGGGTTTGGAGTAGACGGACAAGCAGTTAGAGGGTTCAAATCATCGACAGGCTTCGGGAGGAACAAGCACTGCAGCGTTTGCGGCGTAAGCCGGGCAATAGCGGCTACATATTTGATAGATCATTGGAATTATAGAATGAAGTGTTCTTTTTGCTAAGCATACAAGTTCCAGGTGTCCTCAAGCATTAACCTGATCTGTCTCCAACGATCTGACCCATCAACAACGCCTTTACAACTTCACCCTCTTTGAACCCATTCTGCCTTCCCGTCTCTAAGATCAACAACGCATTGGCTCCAGCCAAACTGCCAACTCTCGAACTCCGCTGACCTGCGCCACTCGTCCCCGTGCTGGTAGCGAATAAACGTCCGTCCCGCGACGAGATTATTGCACGGTGGTATTCCATCCGCTTGAGATCACCACGGATAGAGTGAGTGAGAGTAGCGTGGACGAGTGGGAGACCCAAATCCGCGTTTTGGGCCGGGGATGCCGAAGGTGAGCTCATGCCCATGAATTTATGGAGGGCGGGGAGGACGAAGAGATTAAGTGTGACGAGGGCGGAGGCGGGGTTCCCGGGAAGAGAAAACATAAGACGGGTTTGTCTTTCAGATTGCCCCGAGGGATTTGAACCGGACGGCTTGAATGGGATGCTAGCGAATGTTGTTGGTTTCCCGGGCTTCATGGCAACGCGGCCGAAGTGAATTGTTCCGCCCATTTTGCGTTCTATTGTTGGCTTCAGGAGGTCCAGTTCACCCATTGATACCCCCCCGGTGGTTATGATTATGTCTACCCCATCCCTTAGGGCATTTCGAAGACGATGCTCCAAATCGTTGGAGGTATCCCGGGCGATTCCGAGGTCAGATGTAGGAAACCCCCATGCAGTGAGGCAGGAGATGAGTGACGGACGGTTTGAGTCACGAATTTGTCCGCCTGTAAGGGTTTCAGCACTCGTATGTTCGGTAAGCTCATCGCCAGTGCTCATCACTCCGACTCGCGGCTTCCTGAATACCTTGACTGTTCGTGTTCCCGTTGATGTGAGAAGGCCAATCTCCCCGCCCACAGCTGTTATGAGTTGGCCCCTTTGAAGGATTTTAAAGCCCAGAGCAACGTCACTGCCTGGCTCACGCACATTTTCTCCAGGTTTAACGTCTCCGGTTAGGATTTCCACAACTGCCTCTTCATCATCAGGTGTAGAAGAGATGAGAATGGTATCTTCAACCATCACGACAGCGTTGGCGTTGGGCGGCAGAGGTGCTCCCGTCGTTATACGGGCAATGCTTCCAGATTCCAAGTGTGGAGGCATTGATACAGCCTGTGCATGGGACACCGAGGCAACTGGGAATTGTCCTTGGGTGCTTGGTTCTGTTGCCGATTTGGGAGCGATTACTGCATACCCATCAACGATACTAGCCCGATATGCCGGGACTGCTTCACCCGCATAGACATCCTCAGCGATCACCAATCCCACAAGTGACGGATCCACTGGCATTTCCACCACCTCCGGTTCAGGTGTGTGCTCGTAGATTAATTTAAGAGCCTCGTCCACGGAGATCATTGGATACGGGGACGCACGATGGCGTCTGCTTGCTCCAGCAGATGGGTCGTTTGATGTATGGGGTTGGGGGCATCCGTGTTTATGACTATGCTCATGGCTGTGACTATGATCGTGGGAACCGCCATGTATAGGAAGGGCATGGTGATGATTGCTGTGTTCATGACCACGACCGCTGACGCCGGCTTCCTGTTCGAGCTTCTGCACGCCTCCAGCATGGACCGCGCGAGAGTCGGCCCCAGCAGCTTGAATACAAGCATGAGGTAGCAGCTTGATGACGGCTTCTAGATTCTCCTTTGCGCCTTTGGGAGACCCTGGTAGGGTTAGGATAAGAGTTTTGTGCCGTACCCCTGCGACGGGGCGCGACATCATTGCAACTGCCAACCGCTTTTAGCATGTAGTTACTCTAAAAGAAAAAAGGGGATTGGTAAAAATGTCATCCATACATGCCGTTACTTCTAGCGAAGCAGCAAGCATCCCATGCCTGGACACTGGTTAGCTTCTGGATATTGTAGGCAATTCCGACTGGGCTTACACAAGTCCAGGAGCATGCCGATGAATCAATGGTGAGACTGCCTATTGATGCCATTGTTAGTTGTGGAATTGCTCATAGACATAGGTGATGCAGATTTGTATATCGGCCTACCTCTGGAGTGTCATCCCGCACTGCAAACCCAGTGCCACCAGAGGTCACAATGAGATTCATGAATTCATCTTCTGAATCTGCCCATTGGCAAATTTGGCGCTGAATGTGCACCTTTTCATCTGGTACAATCTTGAGCACTGGCTTGTCCCATTTCTCTGCCTCTGCGGCGAAGGCTTCAGCAAGAACCGGTCCCGCCCGGTCCGTGGATGGATCCCTCGCTGCAGTGTCCGATACCACCAAGATGGCGGCTTTTAGTTTGGGCTGTGTCATGGTTTAGTGATTTATTGGGTGTATATCCGAGTGATTCTGGGTTGAATTGCTTGCTAGATGCGATTGACGTTGGATGATGGCTAACTAGTTATGTCATACGGGGTTGAGGGGTCAGGAAGAGCAGCTAATAGCCTGGACAAGGACTTCAAGGCCAGCAATAGAGCTGCGCAACGAAATTTTCTGACAACGAAAGGTTGCCTTGATCTTGTCTGCATTAATATACAGTCGCATTGGGAGCAAAGTATTGCGCAAAATTAACCTGCTAACCGAGAACTTTCTATGATGCTGATGGAAATGAAACCCAGACGCCCAGGCCCTTGAAGAAAACAGTAATCCGACAAAAAATAAATAAAAAGCCTTCAAAGTTGATAGATGATTATAGATGCCGCCGTAATGTACTACTCCATTCTGCAGTATCCAAGAGCCTCGCGACTTTTCTAGGAAAAATCTGCTGCTTTTCCTGCCATGAGAAGCCCGATGATCAAGCCAAAAAGGCCGAGGATCGAACTGAAGATTTCAATCACTAGGATTTTGACGAACCTATAGTATTTCAATTGGTTAGCACATCCGGTAGCATATGGAAGTGGGTTGACGCACAAATTGGGGTCCGATGCATCTGCGAGCGCAGCGCTGCTTCCATTGATGCCAACCGCAACGCCACAGATCATGTTACACATTCCGACGGTCAACCCAGCCCAAAATAGCGCGAAGCCTGTGTAGTAGTTGTCGCCTGTATATAATTTTTCGCCGGAGACGAAGAAGAGTTTCGACGAGAGGATAATTGACATGATAACACCGTAGATCGCGACGACTTCGCAGAAAATGATCGATATCAAGTTCTTCGTCCGTATTCTAGGCGCCTTCACACCACCGCCGATGATCGACGAACCGGTGATAAATATTCCCCTGCCAGAAGTAATCGGGTCAGAATTATTCGAGTAACCGTGAGTTGTATGGCAGCCAGACTGACCATGCGGCGCCAACTACCGACAAACCGACGCAGAGTCCAATGCCCATGCTTGCCCAAGCGTAGGGGGATATCGATTCGATGAATTGGCCGACCTGTCCAGTAAGTGTGAGAAAGCCACGAGCCGCAGAAACCGGTGCGGAACCGTACATTAAATGCTTCTCCCTCGCCGTTAAAGAGCATATCTAGACGGGCGTTAGCTCGAATGACTGTGGAGGGAACGTGCAACTGACAAGCTCCAACCACTGTGAGGGCGACCACCGCGCCTCCTACCGGATAGCGGAGGCCCATCCTTGCATGAGACCAGAGATATGATAGCAGAGCAGGTGTGCGCGTGCTCCAAACAGAGACGACAGGCCGGTTTGCTGAGAGAGTTGGGTTGTGTCGTGGTTGTTGTTTTGAGGATCGCCAGCATCGGCTTGAGTGCAGCTAAGGGCGGCGAGCGAGAGCCAGGCAGAATGACTTGGGTGGCATCACGCTAACGAACAAGTGCACCAACGATCCCTGGGTGTCCGTCTGGGGAATCTGTTCACTGCAGAACGGCTTTTGTCTTGGATGGGTTTCTCTGGCTTGCTGTTTTCTCTGTGTTATGAATTTATGACCAATTGCTGGCATACAGCGACTTCTTCGGCCTGATTCTGTCTTTCTGCTTGTTACTCGCCCCCTGGCTTCCTCTCCTCACTCTCCGTCTCAATGGCCACCTCCCCGTCCGCAGTAGGGTCGTATTCGAACCCGTTAAAGAAATTCAAGTACGTTCTCTCTTCCGGAGGAGCGAGATTGTATGGCAGCTTCTAACAACGGGACAATAGGCTTGTTTTCCTCGGGGAACAAAGTGGTGAGCAGCCCTCTGCGGATATCTCAAGCTCGCGCATCACCAGACTTGGCTGATGTTTCTTGCTCGCGGATCAGTGGGAAAAACATCTTTGATTACGAGATTCATGTATGATTCGTTCGACAACACATACCAAGCTACGATTGGCATTGATTTCCTATCCAAGGTGCGGAGCCCGCCGGATATCCTTTTGTTGCTGCCTTGCACTCTATGGATGAAGTATTATTAACGTTCCGGCATTGATAGACCATGTATTTGGATGACCGGACAGTTCGACTACAGCTTTGGGACACCGCTGGCCAAGAACGATTCCGGTCTCTTATCCCTTCATACATCCGTGACTCTAGCGTAGCGGTCGTTGTTTATGACATTTCAAATGCGAAATCGTTCCAGAATACACGGAAATGGGTGGACGACGTACGAGGAGAACGAGGTAACGATGTCATCATCGTTTTGGTCGGAAACAAGACCGATTTAAACGATAAGCGAGAGGTGACAACTGCGCAAGGAGAAGAAGAAGCCAAGAAAAACGGCTTGATGTTCATCGAGACCAGTGCCAAGGTGGGCTATAACGTCAAACAGTTGTTCCGAAGGATAGCAAATGCCTTACCGGGGATGGAGGGCGAAGCAGGAAGAGGGGATAACCAAAGTACGTGCCCTGCTCGTTTATGTCTCGATGATCTCCAGATAAGGCACAATTGGACTGACTATCGAACTTCCAGTGATCGATGTAAACATCAATCCGACTCAGCCCGTCAGCAACGATGGCTGCGCGTGCTGAGAAAACGCCACATGTATCTCGTTACCCATAACCGCTACCGATTGCATCGCCTGTTGCGTATACTGTGACCTCCTTTCCCTCGCTCCAGTTTTGGTCGGCGTCTGGACGGGTTTTGTTTTGCGCCATTCAGCCTAATATTATACTCGCCAAGTTTTCGTTTTGCATAGCATTTCGCCTTACATGTTTTAGCCCTTCTTCTACTGGCATTACTTGACTAATATCACCATGAGATGGCCGGTTTCTTGACTTGGAATTTTGCGGCGCAGAATGACATGAAATTTGACCCCGTTTGTGCTGACGAACCCTTGGTCTATACCCCTCAAACATCCATGTTATTGATAGAATTGAGGAGAACACTGGAGGTGTAGATTTCACAAGTCTTACCTTTGACAAAGTATCGAAATCCTCCTGCATGCCTTCAAAGCCGTGCTGCTGGGCACCCCCGCAAGATCCTGCAGCCCAAGACCGAGCATGGGTGTCTTTGCACATGCAATAGATAACCATGGCATTATCCTCTCAACAATCATCCTGCCTTGCATTCTATCTAGACACTTGCTTTCATCTGCGCTGTTCTCACAGAATCGGATTAATTGGTTAAAAGAAAGATAGCTTAGCTAAGCAGCCAGTCCTCATTTCAACGTCAAACATCAGCCAAAAAACAAGACTTTCGACTGCAAGATTCATGCATTCCCTCTCCTCCATCGCTGTAGATAACCAACCCTCGTTCTTTCGCTTTCGCAACTCTGTGCTATTCCATTAGGACTGTGCTTTGGGAGGTGTCTTGTGCTACTACCACGACCACCACCCCTGCCCGCTGTTGTATGACAGCACAAGATGGGCCGCTCAGTTCGATTCCTCCGCTTTCCGCGGCCAAAGGTAGTGTTTCGATTAACCCCTTGTTGATCTCCATGGCTTGGTCATGGCAGTCCAGCATTTGAACTGACTGAGCAAATATGTTTAGACCTTTCTTTATATCATGAGCCTGCAGACAGGCGCGTCGCTCATTACCCTATCTCTCCTGCTGAATAAAGTCAGCGGACTTTATGGCCTCCTCGCGATCCTCACGGGCTTCGGCCTCTCGCCTTTCCAGCTGTCGATGTACATATACTCCATCCTCGCCCTAGCTTTAACTGCATTTCTCGCGCCGCATATTCGAAAACAAACCCCGTTCTATTGCCTGGCCCTGGCGTGGTTTTATCTACTGGATAGTGTGATCAATGCCGCCTATACCGCTGCGTTTGCAGTGACATGGTTCCTGGTTATCTCTCAGCACCACCACTCTGCGCCCACATCTGGCCCCGGCAGTTCGACGATGGACGATACCGCTGGTTTCACTAACCCGAAATACAACGTCTCGTCTGTTCACGTTGCTCCTGCAAATGGTAGTGTCGCTTCTGCTGAACCGGCTTCTTCACCGGCCGGTGCTACTGATGCACTTGGCGGCAAGCCAAGTCTAGGGAACGGCGTCCTTCAGCCGGAGAGCTTTCAGAGCATTGCGGTGATATCTACCCTGTGGACGATTCGCGTCTATTTCGTATTAGTGATGATGGCCTTTGCAAGGCAATGCCTACGACAATACGCTTTCAGCCCTCGGTCCCCACTTTCTCGCCACGGCTCCGTCGCCCATAGCCGTAACCCATCCACCGTGAGCAACATCGAGCTCGAACCAAATCCATTCGCTGCTCGATCGGCAGAGGGCCAGGGATGGAAGGGAAAATTGGGCCGCGCGATGATTTCAGTTGGCCGAAGCTACTGGCTTGACGGAGAAGATGACGACGGGTGGATGGTTGGATTAAATAGAAAGTTCCATCGCAGCCGTGGATTCTTCAACTCCACAGATGGCGGTCTAAGCGAACGCGAGCGGCGACGTCGATCAGGAACTGGTCCACCAGTGCCTTCTCAAGCTGTTCTCCAGCAAATCGCCTTACAGCAAGGCCCAGCAGCCCAGGACGCCAACAAGCTGCCTCAACCTAACTTGGGCAATACCCAGCTGCCCAAAGCACCAAACACTCCAAGCGGAAATCCTTTTTAGCGGCTGTACACCAGTTTATACGGATATTCTTGAATATAATCCTGTATCGACTCATTTGGTTTGATACTACTGGCATTGGCATTATTGTTACTTGCGCAAAATATATACTGTTATATATATGGGCACTTACGCAGCGGGTTTTACAGCGTATTGGGTTGCTTTTTGTGCAGCTTTGTGAAAGCAACGATACTGTCCCATATCCGGTTTCGTGACAATTTCGAACAGCTGCGCGGGCCATCGTGCTTTCGCCGCGCTTGATTTAAACGGGTAATCTCGACTTTGCAAGTTCAGTCTGAGCATTACTGGTGTTTTCACGTCGACTTTTTGACGCGAATATGATGGGTGGCATCTGGCGTTGATATGGGAGCTGAGGCATATACCATGCGTTCTCGGGGAGTGTATCTTGGGACTTTCTTTACATGGTCTTCTTTTTTTGGAAGGGTGTTGGCTGATATGTTGTTGAATCTGCGGTTTGCTTAGAACCGACTTAATGAGATTTTTGGAAGATGTAAAGAGCAGTGGGAATGACTGCGATTGCAAAATATCAGCAATAATGGATAAACGACCAACTTCGTACCGCCTTGTTTATATATTGGTTTTAAATGAGAGATTTTACCCGCATCGTTTAACGATTGCTTTCCCGGGCTAGGCGGCTTTTATTACCTCGCTGATCACGCAATCCGCGCAAATCCTGATGGTCTCCGCAGGCTTTAATGAACGTGCTCATGGCAAACGATTCGATAACCGTCTCGTGCGAGAAATTGGGATCAAAAGCTATGCCCTCAAGCAACAACTCGCTATTAGGTGCAAATGGGCAACAAAGACGTGCTTCGGCAAATCTTTAACCCGAGGCCAAACACCTGTTTGCACCGTTGGCACTGTTTGCACTGATAGCACTGTTAATTTGCATCGATGTCGTGATCACTGACCAATCAGGGAACCATCATTCCTGACTCTCGCTGAGCGCGATGGGAAGTTTGGATCAAGAGGGAATGGGGAAAGTGTTTTGAATTGCAATTCTAATAAATGGGAAGCTTTGATCTTTTTCTTTTTTCCTTTTTCCCTTTTTTCTCATTTCTTTTGCATTCGTTGCGTGTGGTGGAATCTGCGGTGATATCAGTGTTATAGATCTACTAGCTAGCTTTCCCGCCCGCACGATTCCGCCGCGATGAGCGTCAAGACAGCGGGAGAAGCAGGTGAGATGATTGAATGCCTTTTGCGTATGGGGTTGATCGAGTTCTAACATCTTGTGATTCATTTAGCCGCAAGGATTGCTTACCTGTCGAGCGACCTGGTACTGTCAGTCCAGCCATCGCTACAAGGGGAATCGACCTTCTCTCGGCAATTGAAGCAGCTATCCGCTGACAATGTGAGAGGAGTAATTTCGAATGGAGTGCCAGAGGTTGGTACATGTTGTGACACCGGCCGTTGCTTGGATACGGTGCCTTGAACCTGCAATATAGCTAACATTTATATCAGGTCCGTGCTGTGCGGCAGAATGAGGATCCTCTGCTCTCTGCATTCCATCCGCTCCAAAATGGTACCTACGTGTCTGTGACGACTTCCTCATCCATTCTGCTTTCGTCAACTCCGCACCTATACCGGCTTGCACAGTACCCTATAGTCCTCCATGTCTCTCTGGAGCCAGCCGCTTTCCCGGATTTCTCCGTTATCAGTTCGATTAGACAATGCGGTTTCTCGTTCCTGCACTCTCAAACCGTGCAGGAGGCGCAAGATATGGCATTGACATCCCATGCTTTGGCGATTAAATCCGGAAAGGGTGTCATTCATTTCTTTGATGCGAGCAATTCCACCGATGATCAGCCCATTGCGGAAGAAGACCCGGCGTTTGTTAGGGATATACTTGACCTAAATAGCGCGAGAGCGATCCATCAACCCGGTGTGTCGCAAACCATTTACGCGAGTTCTGGGCGTGTCGCGACGGTGGAAGAGCAGGGCTTGGCCGCTGCGCAGAGTCAACCATTGGCAACGCCTGAGCTTTCAATTCCATCGAAAGACGTGCCCAGTACAGAGGCCTCATCTATCGTTTCCTCCCAAAGGGAGAGCGTTGCCGGAAGTACCGTTCCCAGTTCTGCTGCGACGACTGTTGAAGCTCCAACTAGAAGGCCTGTAGATGCGTCCGATATCTTCCAGATCACAACACACATATGGGACTCATTGGCCGCACGAACGGGAAGAAGTTATCATGCCATCGAATACAGTGGCCCCCAGGATGCTAAACAGGCTTTGTTTATTTTTGGATCCACCGGGGTCTTAGTCAATGCCCTCAGGAACTCCAGCAGCAGGGAAGATTTCAAGGGCGTCGGAGTGATTACAGCTCGCCTATATCGCCCATGGCTTGGTATCCAAATATCCCGAGCGATCCCAAACTCACTGGAAAGGATCGCGGTGTTGGAACAGGTTCGCAGGACCACCAAGTGGGGACCATGCTTCCTGGATCTGCTGTCTAGTCTGGCTCCTCAAGCTCTGATTACGAATAGACCTTTGTTAGTTAGCTTTAGGTTGGGGTATGTTGAGCCTGCTACTGCGGATCAGGCCCTTCGAGGTATCTTCCAAAATTTGACTGCCTCATCTCCCATTCAAAACCTGGAGGTAGGCGTTCAAAAAGGAAGCGCCGAATTAGATGCAAGCTTGCAGTTGAAACCAAATGCGAACGAAAACGCGTACACCAAAATCCTTACCCAGCTTTTCGACGGCCGCTTGCACGTTGCCAACCAGCTTGGCTCTCAGAACGCTGGAATTTCGGCAACTATTTCCGCCAGCCCGGAATATGGCTTTGGCTCATTGATTGCGCGAATGGAACGGAGACAGCGTTTTGTTCGCGAAGTCCAGGAAGCTGTCAAATCCAACAAGTTTGCCACGGATGTCCCTAAAGACTGGTTATCAAAGTGGGCGATAAATGCGGCCAATTCGACTAAAAGCAATCAGCTCGCCCCAGATGTGATCGCTCGTTTGTTGGTGGATGGTTCCAGCCTTTCCAAAGATCTTCTCGCTTCAAAGCAGTTTTTCTTCACGGAGTCACAATGGCTCATTGGATCCGATGCTTGGGCCTATGACCTGGGTAATTCCGGAGTACATCACGTTCTTGCCTCTGGAGCAAATGTGAACATGCTTATTATCGACTCTCAGCCCTACTCTGAGCGTGATGCAGCGGATCCCACGAGAAGGAAGAAAGATATCGGTTTATATGCTATGAACTATGGCAATGCGTATGTGGCCTCCGTTGCCGCGTATAGCTCGTATACGCAGGTTTTGCAGGCAATTGCAGAAGCGGATCAGTTCAATGGCCCGTCAGTAATTGTCGCTTATCTTCCATATAGCAAAGAAGATGACTCTCCATTGACCGTGTTGCAAGAGACCAAGAAAGCGGTCGACTTGGGATACTGGCCCTTGTATAGATGGAATCCGAACAACGCTGAAAAGGGTGAACCCAACTTTGCGTTAGACTCCGAGCGAATCAAGAGAGAGCTCGAAGAATTTTTGCGCAGAGACAACCAGCTTACTCAGATAATGAACCGCAATCCTAGGTTCTCCGCAGCTTTATCGGAGTCCTACGGCTCTGAAGTACGCACTTTGCAAAAGCGGGCTGCGAAGGATGCATATGACAAGCTTTTGGAGGGTTTGTTTGGAGCTCCTCTCACCATCTTATTCGGATCAGACAATGGCAACGCAGAGAATCTGGCGAAGAGGCTGGGCAACCGTGGTAAAGCCAGAGGCTTGAAGACACTTGTTATGGCCATGGACGATTACCCAGTTGAAGATTTAGCCACCGAAGAGAATATCGTAATTATCACCAGCACGGCAGGTCAGGGAGAATTTCCTCAAAACGGGCGCAACTTCTGGGAAACCGTCAAGAATTCTGCAGACCTTGACCTCAGTTCGATTCGCTACTCTGTTTTCAGTCTTGGCGATAGTCATTATTGGCCACGAAAGGAAGACAGGATCTATTATAATAAACCCGGCAAGGATCTGGACAGCCGTATCTCTTTCCTTGGAGGAAAGCTGCTTACGGAGATTGGCTTGGGTGACGATCAAGATCCGGATGGGTATCAGACCGGCTATCAGGAATGGGAACCCAGACTGTGGCAGGCACTTGGTGTGGACAAGGTTGAAGGTCTGCCTGAAGAACCACCGCCGTTGACAAACGAAGATATCAAGATCCAATCCAATTACCTTCGAGGGACCATCGCTGAAGGGCTCAAAGATACCTCCACGGGTGCAATCTCTGCTTCCGATCAACAACTTACCAAGTTCCATGGCACATATATGCAAGACGATCGTGATATTCGAGACGAGCGAAAGGCTCAAGGGCTTGAGCCCGCGTACAGCTTTATGATTCGCTGTCGTTTGCCGGGTGGTGTTGCAACTCCTTCCCAGTGGTTGCAAATGGATGCCATAAGCAGTGCATATGGAAATGAGACCATGAAGCTCACAACTCGACAGACGTTCCAATTCCATGGCGTCGTCAAGGGAAAGCTTCGAGCAGCGATGCAGGCGATTAATAGGTCGTTAATGAGCACCATAGCTGCTTGCGGTGATGTTAACAGGAACGTCATGTGTAGCAGTCTTCCGGAGCTCTCCGCATATCATCGCGAAGTGCACGAAATCTCGAAAAGAATCAGTGATCATCTCTTACCCGCCACTACTGCTTACCACGAAATTTGGCTCAAAGACGAGAACGACAAAAAGGTTCAAATTGCTGGAGATGCGGTCGTGGATCATGAACCGCTTTATGGCCCAACTTATCTTCCCCGCAAGTTCAAGATAACCATTGCGATACCGCCACATAACGATACGGACGTGTATGCGCACGATATTGGCCTTATTGCGATCAAAGGGGCGGATGGACACCTCGAAGGATTTAACATCCTAGCTGGTGGCGGCATGGGTGTGACGCACAATAACAAGAAAACATACCCTCGCACAGGTAGTATGTTTGGGTACGTTCCCGCTAGCGAGGCTCATATTGTTTGCGAGAAGATCATGTTGGTGCAACGCGATCATGGTGATAGAAAGAATCGGAAACATGCTCGTCTAAAGTACACCATTGACGACATGGGGGTGGACGTTTTCAAGGGTAAAGTCGAGGAGCTTCTTCCTGGCGGACTTCGATTCGAAACACCTCGCCCGTTCAAATTTGACTCCAACGTTGATACTTTTGGCTGGCAAAAGGATGAGTACAATCTTAACCACTTCACATTCTTCATCGAGAATGGGCGTATCGAGGACACCGCTGATTTTCAAATGAGAACCGGGCTGCGTGAACTCTCTAAGCTCGAAAAGGGAGAATTCCGTTTGACTGGGAACCAGCACTTGATTTTATCAAATATCAAGGATGAGGATCTTCCGGCCATCAAGCAACTCATGGCCGCGTATAAGCTGGACAACACCTCTTTCACTGGTCTCCGGCTTTCCTCGTCGGCTTGTGTAGCCTTCCCTACATGTGGCCTTGCGATGGCTGAATCTGAACGCTACCTTCCCATCCTCATTAGCAAGCTTGAGTCAACTCTTGAAGAAAACGGCCTGGCGCGAGAGAGCATTGTCATGCGTATGACTGGATGTCCCAATGGTTGTGCCCGTCCTTGGCTTGCAGAAGTCGCATTTGTGGGTAAAGCATACGGTGCTTACAACATGTACCTTGGCGGAGGGTATCACGGGCAGCGCTTAAATAAGCTGTATCGTGCGTCAATTAAAGAAGAAGAAATCCTGGATATCATGAAGGGCTTGTTGAAGCGTTATGCGCTAGAGCGGAACGCGGATGGAGGTCGTGCAGAGCGATTTGGAGATTGGTGTATTCGTGCAGGTATTATCAATGAGACGACCGAAGGCAGAAGATTTCACGAAGGGGTAAGTTGAGTTTCCGTTCATTCGATTTCTGCAGTGGATAGTAACCGACTGTAATCTAGGTTGCCGAGGATGAGGGCGAGGAATGAAGCAGCTGGTTTCCAGCTCTTTGTAATATCTGTAGAAATGTTATTCCTTTTGTCTTATTAATGGGTTTGAGGCGACAATAGACTCTTTTACCTACTGGATACCTCTGTGGTTGTTTTGGCCGGATTTCTGCTGCTGGTTGTAAGTGAAGCATGACGTTGGGTCTTCAGATATAGATGGAAGCATTCGGTTATCAAATATACCTTGGATTAAATATTCTCGAGAGTGTTTGGACTTGTTATGGCGTGCCGAGTAGATTGCTGAATAAAGATGAAGTCAAGTCGGAAACCTTTGCTCTTGGTAGCTTTGACCTTATCGATAAGGAGCTAAAAATTGTGAGCTCAAAAGGGAGTCTGAAGCGCCCACCAGTTTTGTTCGTATGGTTCCTGGTTAATTATATTCTCGCTGAAACCGAGACATTGGACATGATCATGTTTTCTCGTGCTCTCATGACCTGGTGATAAATTTACTGCCCTTCCCTCTGGAGTCTGCATCATGCCTCGTGAGTCTACGTTCCCCGCATGCGCTTCGCGACCATCCATTCCAGGTGCAAGAATAGTAAAGCTGACTGCAGGACCCAAGACCATATTCCGACCGACAACGATTCTACGTCTGACGACCCGGTCATCGCATCCTACGACATTTTTATCACCGATGCCCAAGTTCGTCGTTTTCTGCTCCAGTACCCCGACCGCTCCCTGGCCCAACCATATAGCGACCTAACCCTGCAAAAACCCACCGAGTTTCGATTAAAGCCCAAGACTGGACTTGTTGAAGTCGACATCCCCATCAACACGCGCATCAACTACGACGAAAGCAAGGGGCTGCGGTATGGGAATGCGCTGAAGAAGAGCCGGGTCCTTCAGGAGGGTGGTACACACGGTCTGGCCGGCGGGTTCAATACGGGTGGTGTAGCAGCTGGGCGGGCGAAATTGGAGAGCGACTCCGTGGGCAAAGATTACTGGAATGATGGGAATGGCGGAGAATATGAGGATCTGGAAGATGAGGCGATTAAGGCGGGTCATATCATGACTACTCAGACTCTAGGGGGGAGGATACAAGAGACGATGGACGGTGATCCAATCTATATGCTTGGTGCTTTTAAAGAAAGTAAGTTAAAGGGAGCTAGATTCTGGAGTGTGTCTGCTAATTGACGGCTGCGTACAGACGAGCTTCATCTCGCTCCCCTGTCAGCAATTGTGCAGGTCCGTCCCCAGCTTCACCATCTCGATGCTTTTGACGAAGTTGCCATCAAAAGCAAGGCTAGTGCGAAAGGCAAGAAAGATTTGGAAGACGAAGGCGGGCCCCGCAGTGCGCCGGAAGCCCGAGCGATTGATGTCAAAGTCAAATCGGCCGAAGCAGAGCAGACTGGAGGACAACGGAATAACGAACTCTTGAAGCGAATGCAAGATGAAAAATGGGAGAAGTATACCTGGATCGATGAGAATGTGAGTCTTGCTTGTGAGGCCTTGCTTTTTTGTCCTGCTTCTACTACCATTCCCTTTCCAGACACTGACACTCCCCTACAGGACGAAGAGTCGTGGGATAAATACGAAGAATATATGTTCAATCGAACAATCGAAGAACCTCCGCAGCTTGAGTCCGCCATTGAGCCGGACGACTACATCGACGGCATGAGCGCACCTCGGGTGGACCCCACACGTCCGGATATGACTGGATGGGCGATGAGAGCGAGACGGAAGAAAAGGGGGCTGCCAGAGAAGGCTCAAGCGGACGACGATATCGTGATGGAGACGGCATGACCCTGCGCGTGCGGTCTGTACAGTACTCCGTAATAACTGGTCGGTCTTGGCGTTTACCCTTACGTAATCTCAATTTGATTATTAAGGTTTAAGCTAGTCCAGAAAGGCTTAGTAGCATCACGTGCTAGTGTACTCAATTCGGGGATCGTCTGACTAAGCTGCAACGGGCAACTTTTTTTTTCTGCATTCGACGTTCTGCTTCGATTTCAATCGCCACGACGAGTCCAAGGGGGAAAGGGACCGTATCTCGCTGCTGCTTTCATCTCTTCCCTCCTTGTTTATCCCCTTCTCCTCTTTTATTTGTGTATATTCTTTGTTTTGTTGTCTTTCTTCTGGATTCTCTGTCCTCGAGTCGTTCATTATCTGCCTTTGGCGTCGACGTGCAGCGATGTTATCTCGCGCCGCTCACAGGAAGCATGCCTTTTACCACTTACAACGGCCCTACCCTCAGCTAGCCCTACCTTGGCTATGCCCGGCGCTTGCACGATGTCAATACGGATTTGCCAGGGCTCAATTAACTAGTCCCCTGCTCAATGGGAAGAAATCGTCAGAACAGCCGACTCGAGGCCCCCCGTCACCTTCTTTTCGGTCATTTGCGACCGCAACTTCGGACCAGCATATACCGTTTGAGGGTGTTGAGACATACAATGGCCTGGAGCGATTTAATCTTGCCTCGAAAACGGGCCGACTGCCGTCGCCGTTCACTGCTCCTCTCCCCTTCTTGGACCCCACCGACCCAGCCGAGCGAGATGCTTCCTCACTGATCGTTATCAATGACTATTTGGCGACGCGGCCAAAAGCCGTCCGCCGGGAGAAGAGCATTGGTGGTGATACTAGCGAAATGCTTGCCAACTTAGACGTCAGCTTAACCGTCGGCATGTTCGATCGCGCCGCCCTGCTCATCCGCCGCCTCTCGGCCGTCTTCTCGCCTGGCTCTCCCGAGCTACTGGAGCTACATAATAGGTATATCCGGATGATGGTCTCTCATATGATCGTGAATCGTCGACCGTCTATGGTATGGGCAGCACAGAAATGGTTCGAAGTCCAAATGCTGCAGATATCGAAAATGCAACCAGACGCTACCACTTACGCCTTGATGCTAAGAATGACATTGCGCATGCTTCTTGGCCCGAGACGCGATCGCACGGTCCGCCGATATTGGGACATGGCCAAGGAAGCCCAGGTCGAAGAAGATGTATTGGGCCTCCCAATCCTCTCAGAAACCGACCTGGGCCTGCTTTCGGAAATTTGCTCGTCAGACCTACAAGGAGCTGCTCTCGGTGATATCAGTGGACTGCCCGATTTAACCGAACCTGAACCCTCGGAACTAAACCTTTCTCCGCCAGAAGATGCGATCCCTGAAATCCGATCTGTCTCACAGAAAGGATTGGGACTCCAGTCTCTCAAAGAAGCGCTGTCACTCTTTGATAAGTCGAAATCATTCCGGGAACTCGAAGCAGAAGGCGAAATCTCATCGGTAGAAAAACAACGGCGATTGGAGCAAGATTCGATCGTCGCAGCTATGGAACGTTGGCGAAAAGAAAGCGAAGACAGGGCCTCCAAAACCGGCCTGGGGCCTTCGGAAAAGAAAATGGGAGCCCTTTTGTGGGACTGGCAGCAATGCCTACTTACAAGCATTCAGTCGGAGATGCAGTCGGCTTTACGCGCGCAGGAAAAAGAAAGGAAGACGCCAGAGGACAATGACCGATGTGAATATGCACCCTTCTTGAGCACTATTGGCGCGGAGAAACTCTCTGCTATCACCATTCTTGCAACAATGAACGCACTGGGCCGGTCTGGAATGGATAAAGGAATTCGGTTAACTCGCCTGATCATGGTTTTGGGAAAGGCCGTTCAGGAGGAATATCTGGCTGATCGGATACGTGAATCTGCCTACGACTCTGCGCACACGAACAGTGCCAACAGTGCCAACCGTGCCAAAATGGTGGAGAAGTTAATCGCGTCTAAGGATCACTCCAAATGGAGATATCTTGTTCGCAAGTACAATGAGAGTCATGAACCAGTCAATTGGAGTGCAGCAACCGAAGCAAAAATTGGTGCTCTGTTGGCGTCGATGCTCTTCTCTTCAACCAAAGTCCCTGTTGAGCACAAAAATCCTGAAACCCGTGAAGTCACCGTTTCTAAACAACCCGCTTTCCGCCACGTCTACCAACTAGAAAAAGGGTTTTCTATCGGATATGTCCAACTGCATGACAGTATCGTGGAGAAACTCGGCCGAGAACCTGCCAGTCATTTGCTTGCGAAACATCTGCCGATGGTGTCTCCTCCAGCACCATGGAGCTCGTACCATCATGGGGGATTCTTAGAGCAGCCTTCACTGGTCATTCGAGCCCGCCCGGATAATGCCTTGCAATTACAGTATGTCAAGGCAGCCTCACGCCGTGGCGATTTAGATGAGATCTTCGCTGGACTGAATGTTTTGGGCAAAACTGGATGGCAAATAAACCGGCCAGTGTTCGATGTGATGCTCGAGGCATGGAATTCTGGAAAGGAACTTGCTGATATTCCTGCCGCGGAACCTAATCTTCCGGAGCCTGAGAAGCCAGATACTGGTGATTCGGGAAGCCTCAAGGCCTACTATCGTGCGAAAGCGGTTGTTGACAATAAACGGTCTGGATTTCACTCCCAAAGATGTTTCCAGAATCTACAACTGGAGGTAGCACGTGCTTATATCGGCGAGACGTTTTATCTTCCCCATAACATGGATTTTCGCGGCAGAGCTTATCCGTTACCTCCATATTTCAATCAAATGGGCTCTGACATGTGCCGCGGACTTCTACTTTTCAGTGAAGGCCGGCAGTTGGGTGAACGTGGGTTAAAATGGTTAAAGATTCATTTGGCCAACGTTTACGGGTTTGATAAAGCCAGTTTCGACGAAAGAGCTCAGTTTTCAATGGACCATCTTGATGATGTGATTGATTCAGCCGAAAAAGGCTTGCACGGGCGAAGATGGTGGCTTCAAGCCGCCGATCCTTTCCAGTGTTTGGCTGCTTGCATTGAATTGAAAAATGCACTGGCCTGCGCTGACCCAACCAAATTCGTATCTCACTTACCAATTCATCAGGACGGTTCGTGTAATGGATTGCAGCATTACGCCGCCCTTGGAGGTGATATTATCGGTGCACGGCAGGTGAACCTTGAGCCGTCCGATCGGCCATCAGATATCTACTCAGCTGTTGCCGAGCACGTCCACCAATCCATCGTTCAAGATGCTGCCTCGGGCAGCCAGCTTGGGGAGTTACTTAAGGACAAAATAAATCGGAAAGTCGTCAAACAGACGGTAATGACGAACGTGTACGGCGTTACCTTTCTTGGAGCAATAAGACAAGTTCAAAAACAGTTGGACGAAATTTATCCTGACCTTGCTGAGAACAATAATGTAAACAAAATCGCGACATACATCACTCGAAAGATTTTTGCAGCCTTGAGCTCTATGTTCACTGGAGCGCATGAGATTCAATTTTGGTTGGGTGACTGTGCCAATCGAATAACCCAATCCCTATCTCCCGATCAAATCGAGGCGGTCATCGAGGCTAGGAATGCTCCCGCTACGGCTGCCAAAAAGCCCAAGAAGAAAGACGATTTGTCAAAGAGGTTTCGGTCTACGGTCATCTGGACTACTCCACTTAAACTACCTGTTGTCCAGCCCTATCGCGAAGCCAAAGTCCGCCGTGTCACAACTGCCATACAGAGCCTGAGCATCAAAGAGCCTCACTCCGACGACATCGTCAGCCGACGAAAACAACTCCAAGCTTTCCCTCCTAATTTCATTCATTCGCTAGATGCAACTCACATGATGCTCTCGGCAATCAAGTGCGATGAACTGGGTCTTTCGTTTTCAGCGGTTCACGATTCGTTTTGGACACATGCTGGTGACGTAGATACCATGAACCTCGTTTTGCGAGATGCTTTCGTCCGCATGCATTCTGAAGATATTGTTGGAAGGCTAGCGGCAGAACTCAAGGCTCGGTATTCACAGAACATGTACCTTGCTAAAGTACGACCGAAATCATCAGTGGCGAAAAAGATCGACGCCTGGCGCAAAACGAACGGTAGGGGAAAGGGCAAGGAACACCAAGCTGACGAGCTTATCCTCGAGCATAAACGCCTCCAGCTCCTTCGATCGACGAACGAGGCTGAAAGAGCAGAGGGAGAAGCAATGGTTACTCCCGGGAGCATTTTCGAATCACTCAAGGATGCGGAGGAATCCCTTGTTTCTGTTCAATCCCTTGGTGTCGCCGCGATGGGCCACATCTCGCCGGAAGATGAAGCAGCGAGCGCTGAGCCTTCGCTGCTCCCGGAGGCGCCAACAAACCCTCTCAACGACTTGTTCCAGGGAGACCTCGACCCTGTAGACGCTGGTGCGGAAACCGCCGGACCTGCAACCAACGTGTCTAAGAAAAAGCCTGCCAAAAAGACGTGTTGGGTTTGGCTGCCGGTGACGTTCCGGCCAGTTCCAGCTAAGGTATGATCCAATCCTGTTGACGCGCCATGCCTTTTAAATACTGACCTTATGCAAGGGTGATTTCGACGTCACGAGGCTAAAGAAGAGCGAATATTTCTTCTCCTAAACATTATATCACGTCACATCCATTTAACCGTTTTCGACATTATACCTTTATATTACAGTCTTATTCCCAGTTGCATTATAGCGGGGCGTTTGCAGAAGGAGGACCTTTACTCTGTGTTTTTCGTGGCAGCCTATTTTTGATGAGTCCCGTCCGGACGGCGTTTAGGCAGAAAAATGTTGGCTGAGTATTTTTGAAGAAAGCGTTACTCAATCAGGTGTGATAGGGACTGAGGCGCAGCATCTGATTGTTGGCATATCAAGGGGTGGGTTCCTTTGCGGTCCTCTCATGCCCTACTCTCCTCACTTACATTACGTTTGTCGGGTGCCTCGTCGCTGGATTCTATCTTCGACATTGGAGTATCATTGCTTTTGTGGATTTTACACGTTTACGGAACGGATTGATCTGGTGGCCTTCGGAGTTGACCTCTTGGGTTGCAGGATTCATGTATATTATGTACGGGATGTTTGCACATTTTCTACCAGCTACGTGTACCATAGATATCACCAATGCCTGCAATGCAAGCAGAAATAATACCTTTTTTACTCTTATTAAAATATCTCGCCTGGATGAATTCTCGGCCCCTTTTGCACGGCGTAGACGCAGTTACATAATCACACCGTCTCGCCGCAGCTCTTGAGAGTCAAAAAGGCTCCCGCTTGGTGTTAATCCCGCCCGCTCTTCAAACAATCCAACATGCTGAGCACATTTACACGCCTTTCACCAAGATTACCAAGGACCAGCGCGACACCGACTATACGTGCAACGACATCGCAAACCCGTGCTGTCCACCTCGCGCCTCCTTTCCTTCTCGACTCCTACATACCCCGCTACCACCTCCTCTCGTCCGCTGATGCGTCCAAGAAGCGCTCGCTTGCACACTCGCATCTCGCCAATTGTAACCTCTGCCCCCGCCTATGTGGCGTGAATCGCTATCAGGAAACAGGCCATTGCTTGATCGGGGCTGAAAAGGTCAAAGTCAACGTGATCGCGCCGCATTTTGGCGAGGAGCCGTGCGTGCAAGGCTGGAATGGGAGCGGCTCGGTGTTCTTTTCTGGGTGTAATTTACGATGCGTCTTTTGTCAGAATCATGTGGGTTTTAATGGCTACCTCGGATGCTTAGAGCTGTGGTCTGCTTGGTGCACTCGCTGATCTGGGGTTGGTTGTGTGAGATAGGATATTGCCCATCAGCGGAATGGGTTCGATTTGACCCCTGAGGAGCTTGCGGAGTGGTATATGAAGCTGCAGGGCGTCGGTAACGTCCATAATATTAACCTTATCACACCAGAGCATGTTGTTCCTCAGGTCGTCCTGTCCATTTTGCATGCGCGAGATTTGGGTTTGAAGCTGCCCATCATCTACAATACGTCCGCTTTCGATTCACTGGAATCCCTCGAGCTGCTCGATGGCCTGATCGATATATACCTACCCGACTTTAAGGTTTGGGAAAATAGCACCTCGAAGAGGCTACTTAAGGCGGATAACTACACTGAAACCGCAATGGAAAGTATAAAGGCCATGCACGCCCAGGTGGGGGATCTATGCTTCACAGCTGATGGCGTCGCAAAGAGCGGCGTACTTGTCCGACATCTTGTCATGCCTGGACTAGAAGAAGAAGGCAAGGAGATAATGCGTTGGCTGGCACTAAACGTTTCGAAAGATACCTATGTGCATATCATGGAGCAGTACCACCCAGATGCCCACGTCGGGAAGAAGCGACGTGGGGCTGGCAGCAAAGGAAGCGAAGTTCGGTATGCTGATATCAATCGACATGTCGACATGCGGGAGGTTGGGGCTGTTCAAAGTGCAGCAAGAGCAGTGGGACTCTGGCGGCTTTGTGAACCGGCTGAGCACGGTGGGTTCCATCTCTGATAGAGGGAAGATTGGATTGTGATTGAATGCATTCGACATTGCTTGATGTACCACACGTCATTTAGCTATGGCAGCATGCTTTGATTTTAATACACCCAAGGAGCTCGGGTATTTCAGAGCGAAAACAGAGGTGGAATGGGTGATTCAGAAGCCGTTCACATGAGTTATGAATCTGATTTCAACTGCTCTTAGGAAGATGGGAATAGTATCACTATCTTTCCATTCAACTTCCATGGTATTAACCAACCTCGACCACTCTAATCAAGAGCATTGCCTGTGGCCCAGGAATAGAATAAGTGAACTCCACAAGCTGCCTCTAATAATTAGTTATATGTTAACTAGTTAAAGACTAACTCCCATGTCAGTGATATGAAATGCTAGTTCAGTAGCCTTGATCAATGCTTGCAAATCAATCATGGGGAATCATGCAATTAGTTAGCTTAAACACCCTTTATTGAAACAAATGATTGATTTGCGGCCATCTTCAGGTGGTTTGATACAATTGTTTGATTGCCCTAGATTGTTCCAAACGGGCCGGATCTCCATGTCGTAGTTAACTTCAAGATCCCACCCATCTCCCTTCCCAAGAGCTATCAAGCGTTGTCTTCCTTGCGACGAAACTACTAACACAATAGGATGCGATATTCACCTTGTTGTCAATCTTCTGCACCCGCCAGCTCAATTCTCAAAGCGAGGCAACCAGAGCTGTGAACTGCTGAGAGAGAGAGTTGGTTACCAAGCTTCAACATGAAGCCAGCAGTAGCAGTTCCTGCAACAGCTTTACTTGTTTATCGCGCCTGGTCAAGGAAATCGTTGACCCCGACCGGAATCTTCTTTGCTACACTTACAGCTATCATCCATGCGATTCATCCGTCTCCGGCGCCCTTCGCGTTCTTGGTTATCTTCTTCTTGGGCGGGACCACGGTGACAAAGGTCTGCAGCACGAATCTATGTGCGAACCCGCAAAGGCTCAAGCAACTAACCGTATTTTCATATCCAGATCAAGCACGATGTCAAGGCGAAGCTGACAGTTTCTGCCTCCGGATCAGCAGGTGGTGAAGGGCCGCGAACCCATATTCAGGTTCTAGCCAACTCGGTGGTCGCGTCGATCTTGATACTATTGCATACTCGGCAGCTTTATCAGAACAAAGGGCATGAACCTCCGTGCTTTGCATACGGTGGGGACTTGTTGATGGTTGGAATAGTTGCGTGAGTTGCCTTTTGCCGCGTAACATGCGACTTGTGTCAATGCGCTCTTGCTGCATATCATGATGTTCTAGTGCCTTGGAGCTAACAGCTTTCTCCGTTTCCTTTAATAATAGTAATTATGCTGCTGTGGCCGCGGATACTTACTCCAGCGAGCTCGGAATCCTCTCCAAAAGCTCCCCGCGGCTGATAACCTCCCTTACCCTTCGGAAAGTGCCTCGCGGAACAAACGGTGGCGTCACCCTTGTTGGCCTTGCTGCTGGAGCTTTGGGAGCTCTCACAATTGCTTTAACTTCTGTATTATTGCTTCCATTTTGTCCGGTAGGTACTCTTGCGAAATTTACAAAAACCGGACTCGACGGTGGACGAGCATGGGGTTCGAGGGAGAAGATACTTTGGGTGATGGCTGTGACTGTCTGGGGGACGCTAGGTAGCGTGCTAGATAGTGTCCTGGGTGGATTGTTGCAAGCGACCGTTGTTGATAAAAGGACCGGCAAGGTAGTTGAGGGGGAAGGGGGAAGCAAAGTGAGTTCACACCCTCTTCTAAAAGCAGCCCAATCCTGCTTTAATTAGACCTCGATAGCGGAATTCGCTCCAAAGTGCCTAATAACTAACGTTCTGCTTCCTCCGTTTCTAGGTCCTCGTTCATCCTGGAGCAGTTGCACGGCCTGGCCCGGAAGACACATACATTCGCCAGGGTAGTCAGTTACGGGTCACAGAGGATATTGCAAATATAGTTGCACCTCGACCACTCCGGCATGAGATGGATGTTTCTGGCAAAATTGCTGGTGGTCCAGCTGATGTGGAACATGAGAGTAGAAGGATTCAAGCAGGACACGATGTTCTGGATAATAATGCTATTAACGTACTGATGGCCGCCATTATGAGCATAGGAGCGATTACTGTCTCTAGTTATCTATGGGATGCGCCCCTTGCTGGCATAATATGAAATGAAGTCGGTTTTATTACTCTGCTCTACTCGGTAAGAATGGATGAATAGTCTGTATTGAAGGCAGGTTCCTAGATAGTGTTTGTTATTGCTAAATAACAGATAATAAAGTTCCAGATTTAACCTTTGCTTCTACTCATATGCAGCCATCATTCCCTAATATCAATGGAGAAACTTATGCATCATTTTAGATCTTAGGGACTCCGCGGTAATTCAGCAGCAGGAACGCATACGTTCCTAGGAGGCCTCCTCCTCACAATCCTGAAAGTCGTCACGTTTCCTTCGGGCGGCTGCCCGCCGGATAATTGGTCAATATCATCCTCATACTTTCTCAGCCATCGCTTGAGATCTTCGCCCTCCCGATACCTACCAATACAAGGCATTGCGTCCAGGAACATTTTAGCCGCTTCCTGTCGTCGCTTTTGCAAATGGTAGATTCTTCCTTTCCAATACAGGCATCTTGCGGAGAGAGGGGCGTACTTGAGTTTCTGGGCTTTCTCAAGTGCTTCGTCAATGAGCGCAATGGCATTTCCCGGAAATTTATTTTCGACCAGCGCTTTCACACGGAGAATGATAATGTTGACGTTTAGCTCATAGCCCTGGTAAAGCGGATTGTCGTAGAGGAAGGGAACGGGGCTTTCCTCTACCATGAAGTCTCCGTTGACGCTTGATTTAGTAGCCGATGATGGTGGAGTTAGGGGTTCATGCGGAGGCCAAACAGGGATGCGCACGATTTCCGCTGTCCGATAGAATTTGAAGGAGTTTTCGAGTTTGGACCGTTTTGCTTTTTCGGCTCGTAGGGCTTTGGTGAGGCTGGAATTTGTCTCTCTTACTTGCTCCCAGCGCTGAAGTGCCTGGTCTCTTTCTTCGCGGATGGTGGATAGGTTATGTGTGAAGCGGGTGCTGAGCTTTAGAACATATTCTCCGGGCACCATTGTGTCGATATGTGGGCAGCCAGCAGGCGTGGTAACCTGCAGAGTTGTGAACTGTCAGTATTCCATGTATGCAGCTTTGCCTTCCACAAGTACGCCGGGGAAACATTTCCTTACCTGCAATTCACTGGACTTGAGAGGGAGCGAGTCTATATCGCTATCACTGTCCCTACTGCTATCTCCTTCGTCTCTTGTAGCCTTATCAGACGAGCCTGTATTGCCTAGGACGCTACTGCTTGCATCGTTCAAAGGATCTGCGCTTCCACTGACGCCGTCGGCCCACGAGGCCAAGTGTGTCTCCATGTCCATCTGTCCCTCGAAGGTCTGAGTAACTCGAGGGAAGAAGAGGGCCAAAGTATCAGGACGAGGTTCAAAACCGGCTTCCATTTTCAGCAACGGAGGTCCAAGTCACCTGATACTACATTCTCTCCTCAGAACCCGATCGTGTCGACGAGGGTGAGGTCCATCAAAGTCTTGACGAAGCGGACATTGGGTTGATAAAGTGAGAAAAACCAACAAGGAATTACTTCTCCATTCAAACCACTTGCTTTTTGCCCTTTCTCTCTCGAAAATGGGTCCGCCCAAAGCCTTTATTTGACGAGCGTCGCTCATTGTCAGAGGCGTGTCTCTAGATTCGACCTTTAGACAAACATATTGTTATTCATTTTGCATTCTATTGAGCATCCTTTGGGGAAGACCGGGAGTATCCGCAGGCGACCAATTGATAAAAGACCTTGATATCAAGGCAAAAACAAGATGAAATTACGAGTTAGAAGGGGGTTAAATGCATTCTTCTAACAGTGTCCATCTTAAATCGTGGGAATCAGGTAGAGATAACCTATGAGAATGGTATAACGACATCCCAGTTTCTCTTTATTTATAAAGAATATACATCTTTCTTCTTGATCATACCGACCTTGTATCCCGAGCCCTAACTCACCGTTAAAGAACTAAGAGAACCTAGGAATGATATCCCTACAATCGTCCTCAGAGAAAAGAAGCCGGAGAGGCTTTCAGAACTCAACACTGTCTTGAATTGAATGCAAGATGGCCATATGGCTATGCCATGATGGAGAAATACCACCTCGATTAGATTCCGATTTCAGGCAGCCGATCAATCGATAGTCTCCAAGGCAACCTTTGGAATCGCCCAACAAGGCGTTTGGCGTTTACATCAAGAACCAGGGCGTTCTTTGGAAGGATTTCCTCGTCGGCTCCTATCCTCGGAGAGTATACGGGTAAATGAGCAACGACCGGTCTCCGGGAATTGATCAGGAATTTACATTACCCACGAAAGAGCGGTGAAGCGCATGTTCAAAGGGTATTTTGCCTCGAAGTGGGTGTCGAAATCACGGCGATGGCGATCGAGACAGACCTCGCTATATTTCGGGCGAAGCAGACGGGGAAAGAACCGAGGGTTGCGCGCAGTAGCAGCAAGTCTCCAGGCAGCCACACTCTCGACATGGGACTTGGGATGAAGGAATTATTCATCCATCAAGGATCCTGATTGTCAGTCCTCCTCTGGCTCTAGGCCTCGGGGCGGGTGTCAAGGTTGTCAGCCCAATTCCGCACTCCCTAAGAAAGGGCGAGAACAATGTGACTCAAATCGTATCTGAACGGTAATTGACCGGGCCGTTATTGGCAGGCTGGAATCGTTGTTGAATCAGTCTCGCTGGAATTTGCAACATCGCGAGATTTGATGCTGGCGAAAGCAGTTTGTTTTGTTTGTTCGCCTGCAGAAGTGGAGACCAAGCAAACGCTCCAAACAGTGCAAATTACCCCACTTTGACTTTAGCGGCTTGGCATATGTAATTCCCGCGGGGAGTGCAAACAAGTCAAACTGAGCAAAACATCTAGCAAACAGAGCAAACACTCCACCAGCTCGTACTCGTGTCACGCTGTGAGGCTCGACGACTTGTGCTCTGCCACCCATGCCCAGCATCAACATCGATCGAACCATCTTCAGCCGGAGTTGGCGCTTCGAGAAACCCCGAAACCCATGGCTACTTGGCGTGTACGTCATGCCTGTGTCTTTGACATCCTTGCCGTCTGCCGCTAGCTAGGACCCAGGACCCAGTCTCCAGCCCTGATACCGAGTGGAGAAAGCGGACATCCTAGGAAGCCAAAGAACACCATACTCATCTCAGTTCAAATCAGACAAGGGGCAGGAACAGGTTTCTCAGGGTAGTTAGTGGAGAATCTGGACCCTTTTCGATACCAAAACCCTATTTTGAAAGCTGCCCTCCGGACCGACTCAACTCAACCTTAGCTTGATGTTGACGTCAAATATTCCTCCTCAACCTCAATTGCGGGTGATATCGGTTGATTTGGAGTAACGATGTACGACTCACCGTCCAAAGGTGTGGGGATAGCCCCGTTTCCAACGAGGCGGCACATAGGCTCATTTGATGGAGAGAAAAAGGATACACACGACTCCGGGGTTTGTCAGGAACGAATTGGCTAGGTTCTAGCTGGAATGTCCTGATTTCAAATTTTGCTGAGTGCTGACATCGTCCTCCACAGGCTATTCTGCATGCCCAAAGGCTAATCTCCGCATTCTACCGCTTCTTCCTGCAACTAGATATGTATAAAGCGATGCAGACCCCGTAGAAACCCTTTTCACGGTCTTACTCTGTTCAAGACGTTAGCCTTGCGAAATTGTCGCATATATCAAGCCTACACCTGGTTGCTTTCTTTGATATTGTTTATCCACTGAAGCTTTTAATCTTACCCAACATGGTGCTCCCAATGGCTGGTGTTGATATCATTGATATCCGTCGCAGTAACTTCAATCACTCGCTGGCTAAAGAGGTCTTAGACGGCCTCAGGGCCAAGGATGGCTCACAGAGATCTTTGCCGACCTTGCTTTTGTATGATACTGAGGGATTACGTCTGTTTGAGGAAATCACATATCTGGATGAATACTACTTGACAAACGCCGAAATCGAGGTTCTAACCTCGCATGCGGCGGGCATTGTTGAACGAGTTCCCGAAAATGCACAATTGGTGGAGTTAGGCAGCGGGTTTGTCTTCTCTCATCCAATATATCACAATATTGCGAATACCTTTCGGCCTACACCCTTGTGACCGGATCTGTCTTTTAACCGGATTATAGGAATCTTCGAAAAATCGAGATATTATTGAAAGAGTTTGAGCGGGTGAGGAAGTCTGTGGAATATTTGGCTTTGGACGTCTCTCTGGAAGAATTGCACCGCACCTTTGCAGAAATCCCATCCAAAAGTTACAAATACGTGAAATGCGGAGGGCTTCTGGGTACATATGATGACGCCCTCGCCTGGCTTAAGCGGTCCGAGAACAGGCGCAAACCGACATGGGTAATGTCGATGGGCTCTTCCATGGGCAATTTTACCCGAACTGAAGCGGCGCAATTTTTGGGTGGCTTTGCAAAAACGTTAGGGCCGGACGATGCATTATTTATCGGGCTTGATTCGTGTAAGGATCCCCAGAAGGTCTTCCGCGCCTATAACGATAGCAAGAATGTGACCCGGGAATTCTATCTCAATGGACTCGTAAACGCAAATTCAATCCTCGGCTTTGAGGCGTTCAGACGTATGGATTGGGATGTGGTTGGAGAATACGACGAGGAAAATGGGTGCCATAAAGCGTACTACTCCCCGTTGAAGGATGTCACCATTCAGGATCTATCTATCCAAAAAGGCGAGAAGATCTTCTTCGAACAGGCTTTTAAATATTCAAAGCAAGAGTATGAGGCTCTATGGCAGCAGTCGGGTCTAAAACCCATTGCCCGGTTCAGCAACACGACAGGTGACCATCGTGAGTCGTTCCAACACCTGCTCTATCTCAAAAACACTCAAATCCAACTACCTAGGAGTTTTGATCACTGACATTTGTTTGGCAACCCAGATATTCACCTCCTCTCATCTTCGCCATACATCGTCCCTACCCAACCAGCGGAATATGCACCATCTGCGACTCCATCTCTCAAAGAGTTCGAAGCTCTGTGGAAATTGTGGGACACTGTCACAACGGAGATGCTTCCCCGGAATGAGCTGCTGTCCAAGCCAATTAAGTTGCGCAACTCCTTGATATTCTATCTTGGACACATTCCCGCGTTTTTAGGTACGTGATACATCAATACAAGGCGATTATATGCTAACAAAGATAGATATACAAATTGCTAAAGCTACTACGGGCCAACCCACGGAACCCAAATCATATCATTCTACTTTCGAACGTGGGATTGATCCGGATGTGGATGATCCAACAAAATGCCATGATCACAGCGAAATCCCAGCGGAGTGGCCCCCTGTGGAGGAAATCCTCCGTTATCAGACGGCTGTGCGAAATCGGGCTCGTTTGTTACTGCAAAAATCGCAAAGCGTGCTGGATAGACGAATCCATGAGGCCTTATGGATTGGATTTGAACACGAAGCAATGCATTTAGAAACCTTTCTATATATGTTGCTGCAAAGCGACAAGGTTCTTCCACCACCAGAGATCATGCAGCCTGATTTTGAATATTTGGCCATTAGATCCGCTCAAGAGTCTGTCCCGAACGAATGGTTTACAGTGCCCGAACAGACGATCTCGATTGGGCTCGATGATCCCGGTTCGGCTCAGATTCCAACTCAGTCGTTCAGCTGGGATAATGAACAACCACGCCGCTCAGCCAAGGTCCATTCCTTTGAAGCAAAAGGCAGACCAATCACGAATGGGGAGTATGCTAAATATCTAGAAGCAAATGAACCCAGAGCTATTCCAGCATCTTGGACGAAATCGCCAAAATCATTTTCGAAATCCAACGGCCTTGTGAATGGGAACACGAATGGAGCCAATGGCCATGGAATAAATGGGGCTAGTACTGCTCCCCAATTTCTTGAGAAATATTGCGTCCGGACCGTTTTTGGGCCTGTGCCTCTGCGATTTGCTGCTGATTGGCCTGTTATTGCATCTTATAACGAACTCGAAGGATATGCAAACTGGGCCAATTGCAGAATACCCACGTTTGAAGAAGCTCGAAGTCTATATCAGTACTCAGCATTCCTTAAGAGCTCGGCGGACTCTAGTGTGTGCGCTGCAGTGAATGGGAATAGGTACGGGGAAAAGACCAATTTTATCTGTTAGTGGTTTAAGGCCGATTCTTACTGACATTCTTGTAGTAATACTGTGAAAAAGGCACACGGAAATTCCAACGGCTTTGTTCATCAACAGAATGGCAAACCTAGAGCACCAGACCATCAACCGGTTTCACTTGCTTCTGCAAGCCAGGTGCCAGTGTATATTGATCTCGACGGGTATAACGTCGGGTTCAAGCACTGGCACCCAAGTCCTGTCACTCAGAACGGGAATAAGCTTTCCGGACAGGGCGACATGGGCGGAGTGTGGGAATGGACAAGTTCGGCATTGCAGCCTCATGAAGGATTTAAAGCCATGGATTTGTATCCGGCATACACGGGTATGGGATTCTCAGCGATTTTGATTTAAATCTCTTTCCCACCGATGCACCGTCTCTTTTTTGAGTTGTCACTAACAGATTCTTTAACAACATAGCCGACTTCTTTGATGGGAAACATAACATAGTTCTTGGAGGGTCATGGGCTACCCATCCTCGTATCGCGGGTCGGACGACATTGTATGTATCGTGGCCCCTGATTTTATTCGTATCTTTGAGCTTTTTAAATCGTGCCGATGGTACTTGGCTAATCTGGGAAATTTGCAGTGTCAATTGGTACCAGCGAAATTATCCTTTTGCCTGGGCCGGCGCTCGTCTGGTCCGCGACGTCTAAAGGATCAATTGTCTGTATGTATATGCATACATATATACATACCTTGGAATGGCTCGGACGTCGGATCTTTCGTATGGGTTTTGGGATAATTTATATCGGTAATAGTTGCTCGTTAATAACAGCAGATTTCGGGAGTGTTTGAGTGTTTTAAGATAAATTGACAAACTGAGAGAGACGCACCATGAACGAAATTGTTGGAGGAATGTTTGCTATCGGACACTATTAACTAATAGCAGCTTAACCAACTAATTTGAATGCACCTTTTGGTCTTTTCTCTCCAACATCGACCTGATTGATTCCGAAACCAGGATAATGGTGTTGAACATACTAATTGACTAATTTAGCAACAGGACCTCGTTCAACAGGGGAAACTGGGAAATATATCAAAGCAGCTTGTTGATACAGCTTTTTCCTGCCCTCAACGCTACCAAGATGACCACCCTCCCCCTCCTTCGGAATGCGAAGTCCAGCATTAAAGCAGGGACTTTTTCTGTGGCACTGGCAGCTGCCTCTGAGCGTCGTGATGTGAAGGGATATCAACCAGCCGCAATTTGTCGACTGTTGGAATATGCAAACGAGTTTCTTGGGACTTGGCCGCCCCCTTGCCACGGGTGAGAATAATGGCGTGCAAGGGACGGGAGAACCGTGTTCAGGTATTAGCCCGTGAAGCTTAAGAGGCGTGATGCCCCCAATGGAAGGGAGCTGAAGATTCTCTTCTGTCTCTAAATTCTGTTTTTCTCGAACGACCTTTAGTTGCGTCAGTTATCCGCAGAACCACTCGGTATTTTGTTCTAGTCGCCGCTTGCTTTTCAAAATGCGGCCTTTCGCCGGCATCCTAACCGGTCTGACGGCTACATTCTGTTTTATCACTCTCCCACTTGTGGCAGCAGAAGATGTCGCCAAAAATCTCCGTATTGATGCTGTGCATATTACCTCAATCGTCACCGGTACCCCGGACGATCTCTTCATTCGACAGTTCGACTCTTGCCCCGACGCAACCCAAAACCCCTTGTGGCGACGGGAATGGGCTGTTGTCCCCTTTGGCGTCGCGTGCACGGGTATCCAGCGGCCTCCCCATCTGCAACAATCCCTGGCGTCGGTAAGAGTTGTGACTTTGGTGGGTGTTGCCCCTTTGGATATAGCTGCTATGCTGCCGCCGCGGCATGCTCTAAGACCGGACCGGCTTTGGGCGCTGTTCTAACTGGAACGAGGGACGGTGATGACGGTGACGATGATAAAGGGACGTCTTTTTCCGAATCTATTCCCTCGGTCGCGCAACCTACGCAGCCTTATATCCCAGAGGAAACGGATACAAATGACAGTGGCGTCTTCATCACGTTGATGGTTACTGTTCCCACAGACGATATTCACACCGTGACCACCAATGCGGCTCCGGGCCCGGCACCGCTTCCGGCGGTTTTGCAATTGGCGATTTCGGGGTTTGGGTTGATCTTGGGTGGAATTTAAGCTGGAAAAGGGTCTCTTTTATAGGTTGGAATGTCCTGGTTGAAGATGAGTATCATTTAATCGCCGTCAAACGAGTTCTTTTGTTTTGGCATTCGTATTTGCATCAAATTGTAATGGTTCACCCAAGATTATATTTGATTCGGTTCCACTTTAAACAAATAAGGCGAGAATCACCTTTGGCGGCTGACACACCTTGTATCTGCTCAGGTATATCGAACGTCAAAGTTCCAATCTGGCGTCTCTATAACATGTGCATCTCTCAGCGCACCTTGAATCTCTATCTTTCCTACCGGACCCGATTCGTCATCTGGAGAATGCAATGCTCCACAATCCAATTTCCCGGCTTTGACACAGATCGTATCGTTTGGTTTGAAACGATACTCCATCCCTGGTCTCGCCGCAACAACAGCTGTGGGAACGACTTCTTCAGCCCGCATTATAGCCAGGCCGACAACGTACCGGTTTGGCCATGGTATCCCAGCGTGTGTAACAATATCAAATGCACCACGCGGGGCGTTACCATCGAGCTTTTTGATGTTGATGGTGCGATCAATGAACAACTGTGAGCCATTTCCGATAAAAGACCCAACGTTTACCGGTACATATTCTGTTATGGAGATCTGTGTATTGTCACTTAACTGAGAACTGGGGGTAGACGAATAGCCGACAAACGCATAGAGCCTCGGGCTGTACGTGATTTTTATACGAGAGTTATTCGGCATTGGCATTGATTTGTACCAAATGACGGAACGTGGGGATTGGAAGTCGACTGAAATTGGTGCGGAATAAATGTTGTAGATCTTGTTATGAGAGCCAGAGGAGTTCTCGATAGTGATGGTCCTTTCTTGATCGTGCTAAGAGTCCGCGTATCAATATGGCATGATCATAACCGATTTAGGAGCTAGTGAAAGAGCTGTGACTATACCCATTCAGTCGACCAACGGCTGTCATCCACGACTCGATAAGGGTCATTACCCGCTACTTTACGAGGTCTCTCGGGTTCCGCTCTGTCATCGTTTAAGTCTGTGGTCTGAATGGCCCCCAATCTAGCTTCTTGCCCGCTAGGCTCGATCCGAGGAGGGTCTGGAAACGAAAGTTGAGGCGCTTTTTACAAATTCAGCAAAGGTAACACAGATTCACCATAGATCTTACCTGGTTTATTTTGATTTTGTACGGTCTCGGTTTGCGTTTTCTCTTCTGCCGCGATTTTCAGGTTAGAAATCCAGATGACTATGTGCTGGTCACAGGTATGAAGCCCAGTTTTCATGATTGTGGCATACCAGTGATTTCTTTCCCCTCTCCCAACCATTTTTTTATCCAGATAAGAAGATCTTGGTAATTCTCATCTTGTGGAGATGTAAATCGTTGGATATCACGATGTCCCCGGTCGAAACCAAGTCTATGTGAGCCATCGATAATCGCTGAGCCTTTTTCAACTACCTGTACTCGAGACAAACGGCTTGCTAAGCTCTTAATTCTGCAAGATTTAGTCTAACGTACTCACCTGAACAATTGGAAACCCATAGAGCGATTCCTTCACAGCCTCAAAAATGCACACCGTATTCGTAAGCCCACAGTATTCTCTTAGAAAGATCATAAAATCACTGTGTAGGTCTTGATTAATGATCGAATCACGCTCTACTACCCTAAGGAGGCTGGTATCTGAGCCCCTCCAGTGGCCCAAGAGGGAGAGAAGCCTTCCGGCAATAGTGAGATTCGCGCCTTTATGAGGGGTGCCTAGGAATATAAGACCGCGGGTTTGCTGACATATATTATTTCGGTCGCCAAAGTCATCAGCCCGTGCATTTACCAAGGCCTATTCGATCAGCTTCATATATGTACGCCAGGGACTAAAAAAAGACTTACCTGCTTTACAATCAGCCCGCCAAAACTGTGACCGATGAAGATAATCGACCGGTTTTTCTCCTGTACGGAATGAGTACAACAGTCGATATGAATCTGTAGAAATCTTGCGCACCTCCACCGTCTGCCGCACGCGGCGAAGGGCCCGAAGAAGATCATCTCCATGGTCGCGTAGTGATTTTCCCAGCGCATTAGATTCCCATGCAGTATTATGGTTGAACGTCATAATCCGGATGTTAAGCCTCTCAGCCGGTAGAAAATCGCGAAGCCACATAAACTGGGACTGCTGACGCGAATTCCACGTCGTCTGGGCGTTGGATGCAAGGCCATGAACGGCAACTATACTAAAAAGAAGCCATCAGTTACAGGACAGATACACAGTCATAGACGCTGTCAGACTCTGCTAGGGCTCTGCCATCACTAGCCGCCGTGTCATCCGCATCTCCTGAAGAAATGATCTCAAGATGTTTAAAGTCGCCATCGACGGATTCGTTCCGGTGGAAGTAGAACTGTCCAACTGTCAGAGCGGCGCATATGATTAGGTCCACGACGACCAGGGCGGCAAAGAGATAGGTGTAAACGGAGATCGGCAAGGAATATATGGCGGTCGTCAAGAGCGGCAGGAAGAACAGGGCGAGGCTCAAGGCTCGATGGTAGAGAGTGTCGGATAGAATCACAGCCCAGATGAGATATATGGCCAGACACAGGGTGAGGAATGATAATATCATAGCGGCAGCCTGGGTTCGAGAGCGGTCTGTAGTTGTCCATCGTCGGCATCGAACGCAAGACAGGAGACGAGAGAATCATCGCGATCCCACCGTTGGACCCGAGGCTGGCTCGTATGTACTGCAACCTGGTTGCATGAAGCCAGTTGGCGGTGCTGGCCCGAATGGCAAGGGTATCAGGTTGTGGTGCGCACGACGACGCCTTGAAGGGTATCTCGACCTCTCGCGGTTGTGTTCGGGGTATCAAACAAGCTGGAATTCACAGTGGCCGTCCAGATGAACGAGCCTCCGTTTGCTCAAGAAGATGAGCTCTATCCAAAGCTCTACATCTCGCAGAGTCCCCTGTCCATCCACCGGCGGCCAGTCGCGACGACATCCAAACCGGAGACAGCGATAGACGGGCTTCCCGGCCAACCGCGAATTGGCCTCCACGACATCGAGCTGGCATCGTATCTCCAGGCAGAGTTAATCACGGCAGACTTGAACAAACTGGCGCCCCATCTCTGGCTGGTGGCAAAGCAAGACAGCGCTCACATCTCGTCTCTCACGCATCAGATCGTCCGCGGCCGCCAGATTATCATCACAGAGAATCCCGGATTGCACCTCGTGTGGATTTACGACCGCGTGTATATCAAGCCCATACCGAAATATCTCCTCTCCCATGCGTTCTGGGGATTCTATCTCTGCGGCGTCGACTCGCCAATCCGCCCAGACGCCCGCCAGCAGCTCGTTCAAGCGGCACTGGGCTTCCTGAGATCCTATTTCTATCTCGTCCAGCACAAGTCGGATTTCTCCATTGCCACAAACGACGATCATCGCTTGATACCAAAGAGCATCTCCTACTCGGAGTTCGTCAGCTTCATCAAGGCATTTGATGGGAAGAGGATCGGAGACGACATCGTGTCGCCGCGCTATGCCTTTGGCGAGCTCAGACTATCACGGCTGAACCTATGCTCCAAGGTCTTCCTTCGACGGATCTCGTATCACAAGATTCACGGACAGTATGGCGAGCATCTCGCGCAATTCTACGGGCCAATTCTCTTTATCTTTGGGATTTTCAGCGTGTTGCTAAGCGCAATGCAAGTGGCACTTGCGGTGCAGGCCATGGGCACATCCAGCCGGTCATGGCTGACCTTTGCCCAGGTCTCACGGTGGTTCTCAGTCTTTACGATCATTTGCTCCGCCATCCTGGCCCTGGTTCCTGTTGTTTCTCTGCTTGTTCTTCTTACTCGCGAGACCGTGTTCGCCCTGACAAAGCTTTACGAAAAAAGGACGGCGTTGAAAGCTGCTGGCGAAAAGAGGCACGGAAAGTCGGTTGTTTAAGTGACAAATATGTTATATATGTCTGTGAGAGAAAAAGAGAGAGATTGAGCTTTATCTCTACTGCTTTGTTTCTTCCATTCCTCTTCCTTTGAGCATTCAAGACTCGCTAACCGCTTTGCCTCGGACTCGACCATATCTCCAGCCTTTCAAGTCTTCTTATTGACCGCCCACCATTTTTTGGCGCCTAGTGAACGATTCCTAAATTGGAGGAATAAATCGAAATAGCAGCTTATTCCTACCAGCAGTCAACCATGCCTCTTTTGTATAGAAAGCCGCTCAATAAAGCCAGCTTTCGAGGTCGCCTGGGAGACACCGCAAGGACATGACAGTTTATCAGGAGGATAGCTGGTCAACTTGAGATCATCCTGCCGCTGCTACCGGCCAGGCAGACTCTAAGGGGAAAAGACACAGTCCAGCAAGGTTCCATAGTGAAGTACAATGCGAATCACGACCATGATGACGGCACTTCTACTGACCTTTCCAGCCATGAGACTCCTCGAATGATATCCTCCGGGCCTTGAATGTCAGCGCAGTCACCTCGAGAGGGTATATTAACCTGCGCCTCGCCTCGGCGATCAGCACTTCTCTCCCATTCCCCATGCAACCTCCAAGTCTTTAACTATCAGCATCTAGTATTTACTTACAAGGATTGAATTTCGCCTCCAGCATACCGCAGCAAGTCACTCGAACACGCCTTTGCTCAGTTATAAGCCAGATTGCATTCACTTTGCCTACCCCTTTTCGTCGAAACTTCACTTTTCGTCGCATTTTTCACTTTCGTCACACATTTTCGTCGCAAGTTTTCGTCGCAACTTCACTTGTTGCTCACCTTCTATTCAATTCAGCTTCACCTTTTACAATTCACTCAATTTTCACTAGCTAACCTTTAGAGATGGAGCCTATTACTGTTGGAGTACTTAAGTGGGAGGATTCCCCAGGACTTTGTGAGCTGTTCCTCCTTTCTTTTCCCTTTCTCAAGCATCCTACACTCTACAGTCTTCTTTTTTCATTCTTGCTCTTTATTTTTTGACTATACTGATTATTGATATGCCTTGTTCCCTTTGATTCATTAGACCATGGCTGTGCTGTTTGTGGCACATCTTTAAACAACCCCAAAGCCAAAAGAACATGCTATGGCACTCATAGTGAGCCATGCATCAGATATCATCAAACCATGTTTCACAAGGGTAAGTATCCTGGCAACTTCTGAAGACATTAACCTCAGAGGTTATTGGAAGTGCATTCCTGAGGGCTGACTGAGAATATCAGGCGAAAGCCATAAATGTGATCCGTATGTCTGACCCAATATTCCACTTTCTTTTATCCACCAGCTAATTAAAGTGCATTTACAGGTGCAGGAAATCCAATGAGCTTCATGATAAAAGGCACAGAGAAATCGCCAATCTCATGTTGCAGCTTCAGGAGTTAGACGATGAGGGATATGACTCTTTCAATTCTAGCTCTGAGGAACTGAGTCTGTCAGATCTCCAACTCTCAGACGAAAGTGATGATAGCACTGGCTCAGACGAGAAGCTTCCCAGAGTTCAGTCTGGAACACCTCAAACACCACCTAATAGACAAATAATTCCATCGACACCCGCGGCCCCAAGGAAAAATAGCACCTTAAGGCGAGACTCGTCAGTACATTCCTTCAAGAAAACGGTTTTCGACAAGAGGACAGGGTCTTTTCATTTTAACAGAGCCCGACCGATATCAAAAGGCCCTCCTGCCTGGCAAGACAATGCAGTGTTCGAAGAAGCCGACAATGTCCCCATCTCCCCAGTTTTAAAGACCGGGGTCAATGGCCGCAAACCCAGTTTTGCGACTACACACTTAAAGAATATGATGGCCAAAGGAACAGGGACTGCCAAAGGGTCCGATAGGATTGCTGTCCAGCTTGCCCCCAGCTGCGGGTCGCAGACGCCCGCAAAATCTAGGCGTGAGGAAAAAAAGGCTCGCAAATACGAGCGGTCGACAAGCAGAGCACTCAGGCGACAGAGTATGGTCTGCTCATCCAAAGTCATTACAAATGAATTAATAGAAAAGGTGAGCAAAGCAATCCACGGCTCATGCAAAGCACTATCGTCGGTAACTCCAGAGGAAGGCATGGAAGTCTTCATGGAGAGCCTCTCCATACATCAACAAGTTCAGAAAAAGCTAGCACAAATAAAGTCTGGTGATGGATCAAGACCCGAGCAGAGATACGAAGCTTTGATAGCAGCCAGGTTAAAAGTCCCGTATATTCGAGACGTCTTGGATCAACTCGGTGTTCAGCCAAACGTCCCGAACGAAAATAAACAGCGCAAGGCACTGATATACAGAATAATGGACGCAGTTTTAGTCGACCTTGAGCTTCTCGCTAATGAAGCAAGAGAGACTCTGAAACGAGCTGGTGGATATTGGCGTTTCGTCAACAAAAGAACATATCTTGCCATGATACAAAATAACAAGGCAATTAGCTGGGAGACCGGGGAGAAGATTAATGGCAAGGATGCTGACTTCTCCGAAGAATAAGTGATTAAACCGTCATTAACTAACGGGAGATGAAAGAGTCGGATCAGCTTGGGCTGAGTCTCTGCGGTAGGCACTTTTGCAGAGTGCGGTTTACAAAATCCGGGTATGGTAGCCAGAATCATACAACAAGTCCAGAAAATAGGTACCATTATGTGGTCACAATTGACGGCGAAGAATCACATATTCAACTATCTACCACCATTTTACCCCCGACTTCACCGTGTGACAAATATACGAAGGGAGATTCGCCGTCTCGAAGTGAAATTCAATATAAAATATCAAATATACCCACAACCTAAGTCACCCAAGCTGCAAATGGTGGGCCAAAAACCGTTATAACAATTTTATATCCCCTTGTTCACCATTCAGATTGGGGCTCTACAGTGGAATATAATAAATAAATTTTATCAAAAAGCTGACAATTGGTGGCTAGTGGAAGAGCAATGTACAGAAAGACGGTGGTTATTATTTTCTACCCAACGCAGACACAGCCGACAAGGGGTGGAACGTTATCACCTCACTTCAAGCACTTTTCCTGTGGTGCTCCGTCTCGAAGCAGATGACGGCAAACCCTTGAATAAGATTTTGGCCGTTTGATTCGGAATATTATACCGGTGTCTCCAAAGAGACATTCAATTGTCGCCGTCGGATACTCTGCCTCGGAACAGATGGCGGCAGATCCTTCAGTGAGATTTTGGCCGTTTGATTCGGAACATTATACCAGTCTCCATGAAGGCATCCGATGGTCGCCGTCAGATATATTTTCCAATGTACTCCGTCTCGGATCAGATGACGGCAGACCCGTCAGTCAAATTTTGGCCGTTTGATTCGGAACATTATGCTAGTGTCTCCAAAGAGACATCCAATTGTCGCCGTCGGATACTCTGCCTCGGAACAGATGGCGGCAGATCAATCAGTGAGATTTTGGCCGTTTGATTCTGAACATTATACCAGTGTTTCCATGAAGACATCCGATGGTCACCGCCAGATACACCTTTCCCGTGGTACTCTGCCTCCTTAAGGAGCATATATTGGCAGACCCTTCAGTAAGATTTCGCCCGTTTGATTCTGAACATTATACCGGTGTCTCCAAAGAGACATCCTATGGTCACCATCAGATATTTCAATGTGGCCAACAGAACGCATACAGTTGTCTTTGCTATGGGGTTTGCATCTACCCAGGTCCATCGAAGTCCAAGGACTTAGAACGAAAGAACTTATAGCAGACAGTTCCGGTCAATGTGGCAATACATTCAATATCAAGGTCATGGATAAACTAGCCGGCTGTTAGCTAATCTCATGATTAGGATACCTGATCATGGGACACTGTTCATCATATCCACAAAACCATTTACTTATATGACTATATTATCCGCCTATTTTTCCTAGAAGCTTTCGGGATTCACGAACTGCTATTGAACCTGCTATCAGGTCAGGTGAGAGCTGCTCCGAATATCAAATTAACAAACATTCCTCTAATACATACCAGCGACCAACCCATTCTCTGAGCTGTAAATGGCTCAAACCTACTAAGAGCGATATAAAAGGGGAGGCAATACTCCGTACAGCTTGTCGGGATACAAAACCACGCCTCAGTGGTTGCCCGAGATGTTCTATTTCGGCGAATACTATATTATTTTCAACCGGACATTTATACTCACATACGTCTCTAGTCTCGGATAGATTGACAAAGACTATTGATTAACCACGGCCGTGAATCTGTTCGTCAATGCTGCAGTTTCGAACGCGACTCTACGGAATCGACATGATTGACGCTGATTCGGAACATGTATTTATGGAGTAGATATTCCGCTTAGGCGCTCATTCCGTCCATCCTTACTTCTCCTTGTTATTAGCTTTACATTTCCCCTCACCAAGTTCCTTAATCCATCTGGCCTGTTGAGTTGAGAGATGGAATATGATAAGGTCTGGTATGGAGGCGAGCAGGGAGCCGAAGCGCGTTTATCAGTGGGGATCTGGAGCTTTGGATTTGCCGCCTAAATCTGGATAGCTATCAAGCTTAACAAACGACTTTAGTATTATTTAAATCAACGAGGAACCTCATAAAATTCAATCTATTAAAATACGCTCCAAATTTCCACAATGTCTCTAGAAACCATAACCACCATCTCCCCCATCACCAGCACCCCCGTCCTCACCCGCAGCGGCATCGCCGAATCCGACCTGCTCGCCCTCCCCTTAGCCGCCCAGGCCGCATTCCGCTCTTTTTCGCAGTCCACCACGCTCGCCCAGCGTCAGGAAATCGTCGCCAGAGCGCTTGCCCTGCTCGAGAAGAGGAAAAATGCCCTTGCGCGCCAGCTTACAGACCACATGGGCCGGCCCATCAAGTATACCGGCGTGGAGATCACGACGGCCGTGAAGCGGGGTGAATACTTGAACCGGGTGGCGGGGGAGGTGCTGGGCGACAAGATCGAGGCGGACAGCGAGCCGGGGTTTAAGAGATATTTGAAGAAAGAACCGGTGGGAGTGGTGCTGATTATTTTCGCGTGGAATGTAAGTCCTCGTTATTTTACTTGGAATCTAACCTGCTCTTGGTGATAATGCGGGAATGCTACTGACACCGGAGCTATATATATATAGTACCCCTATTTGATCCTTGTCAACAGCTTGATTCCAGCCCTCCTCGCTGGAAACGCAGTGATCCTCAAGCCATCGCCTCAGACACCTACGGTGGTTGAGCACATCTCTGAGATCTTCACCGAAGCGGGCCTTCCACAGAACGTGATTCAGTATTTCCACTCAGGTTCTCCCACCAACGTCGAAGCCCTCGTTCGTTCACCACTAGTTAATCACGTTTGCTTCACCGGGTCTGTTGCCGGAGGATTATCCGTCCAGAAAGCCGCAGCGGACAGAATTGTCAGTATTGGACTAGAATTGGGTGGAAATGACCCGGCATACGTCCGTGATGACGTCGACGTGGCTTGGGCAGCTGAGGAAATCGTCGACGGAGCTATTTTCAACAGTGGCCAGAGTTGTTGCGCCATAGAGCGGGTGTATGTCCAGGAAAAGATCCACGACGCATTCGTGGAAGAGGTGAAAAAGGTTCTATCGAAATATCGCGTGGGCGATCCATACGACGAACAAACACAGATTGGACCCGTGATCTCTAAGAGAGCGCGGGAAAATATTCTGTCGCATATCGACGATGCTGTAAAGAAGGGTGCTAGGGACGAGACTCCGGCCAACCCAACATTTGAAAATATGCCCCCTGACGGAAACTTTGTCAAACCCACGCTTCTAACAGGAGTAGACCACAATATGGTCGTCATGGCAGAGGAAACATTCGGCCCGGTCATTCCTGTCATGAAGGTCAAAGATGACGAAGAAGCAATTCGGCTTATGAACGATAGTGACTTGGGATTAACAGCCAGCATCTGGACCAAGGACGTTGGCACAGCGGAGAAATTGATCCAGCGCATCGAAGCCGGAACGGTATTTGTCAACCGTGCCGACTATCCTAGCCCAGTATGTCCCTATATTTGTTCCTTTGCTGGTAATCGAAGTACTAACCAGTCTATAGGACCTTGCATGGACCGGTTGGAAAAACTCCGGTCGTGGTGTTACATTAAGTAGATTTGGGTTCGATCAATTCGTCAAGCTGAAGAGCTTCCATCTGAAGGATTATCCAAAATAGGTCCTGGTGTTCCTGGGATAGGAGGCTTGCCGATGGATAGCCTCCTTGTTGTCACGGCCAAGACAGAAATTGATTTCCCAAATATAAAGGATAGACTCATTTTGTAGTCAAGTTGGTACCCAAATCTATAGAAATGTTGGGACTTCGCTGAGCCGTCGCTTTCTGGCCTGCTCGTCACTGTCATGCCGTTTATTAAATCTTGGTTCCCGTGGAGGCTTAGTTGTGACAATAGCCTCGTCAATACTGTCCTCCGTCGTAGTTGTAGCTGCGGGTTCATCTATTTCGTCAAAAAATCGGCTTATTCTGGATTTTTGTGTCGATGACCGGGGGACCGCGCTGCTTCTTGATATAGTAGAACGCGGCTTTTCTACCGTGCGTGAAGCAGAAGCATCTGGTTCAGGTTCGTAGCTCTTCCTGGACTCTCCTGGGAACTTCGTTGCACGAGCAACCGCATCTATATCTCGGCTCGATGGCACAGGAGGGAAACGAGATACCGGTTTGGCGGCGGCATTCGAGGATATACGAGGCTCTTTAGGCGCGAGAATACGAGGAAACTGCTTTGATCTAGTGTCTGTATCGAGAGAATCTTCATCCTCTGTACTGCTGAGCGCCTGAGGATTGGGATTCGGCTTCCTTGCAGCTAAGGGAGCCTTGGGGCTACTCTTTCGTCCTCTCCCAGAAGCCGTAGAATACCCCAACGCGGCCTTTGTGGAGGACTTGATGCCGTGCAATCCAACCAGTGATCTGGGTTGCTGAGGCGCTACCATCAAGGGTTGTAGAGTTGTTCCAACCCAGGGATCATCATCTCTATCCTCCTCACTCTCATCCACATCTTCCACCTCTGAGTCTACGGGTGGCCGGCCAGCTGCGGTCTTCAAGTCCTCCAACGCGGCTTTTTGTCTCGCCGAAGCCTTTTCAGCCTCTAGTTTCTTTCTGGTTTCGTCACTTAGCTTTGATCTGCCGTCAGTTGGCCGGGGTGGAGGGGCGGACTGATTCGCCAGCTTTGCGGCTTTCTTGCGGCGAGCGTATTCCGCATAGTGGAGATGGCGCGTGAAGGCCTGGGCTGTAGCAAGGAATTCATCTTCAACCATTATGTAAACTTCATCGTTCTCTAGACCTTCACGCATGAACCTGGGAAGATAGTTCGCGTCAGTTGCGATTGCGGCATGCACGTCAGGGAGGCACGTACTCTTCCGGAGGAGGCTCACGAACAGGGGATGTCGACGCCGAGCGAGCTTGAGCTGTATGTCAGTACATGGGTCTGCGGCCGGATTTGGAGGACAGGCTCACAGAGTCTCTGTTGTCGCTTCACTCGAGGACCCCTGTCTGAGTCTGCCGTGGATCGCGATTCTTGGGCATGAGCCCGGGAAGAAGTCGACACGGGCGTCGTACTCTTCCGCGATTCCGTTTTTACCTGCCATGGCAATGTCCGTGGCATGCTGAACACGAGGCGGCATATTCAAGCCCAATCAAAAGGCCGCTGCATCGGTTGACGGGCGGTGCCAGGGTAAGAGGCTCGAGGAGAGCGATGCTAGCGGTTGGCATATAGCGCTAGCAAGTATACACTCGCTACTGGGATTGACGGGTGTACGAGGCAACTTCAGATGTCATTTTCACGAAGAAGGGAGTTTGCTGTTGCGCTGCTGGCATGGTTGATCTGGGATTTGAGGCGCGAAGGATTTCGAGACCAGATCCAGGCCCAAAGTGATAAATACAGATCTAACCTTGGCGAGGTGGACACAACACCAGGCATCCCCGGTCGTTAGGAGTTGTTTCCCTGCAAATTGATGATGTATTTTCTCTACAGAGTGGTTCTTCTGAAAAGTGAACGATACTATCTAAAAGTGCATCATGAAACCGCCTGGCAACCCCACCACCCTCAAGTGCTAATGCGGTGGGAAAATCCAACTTGAGAGAATTTGCGGGAGTCAAAGCTCATGTCTCATTTAATTATTCCTAATCCCGGTGCATCCGCGAAGATCTCTCCGCCATTAAGCCCGCAAGTCGAACGCCAATAGTGCGCCAGTGCAGATGAAAGAAGTTTGTTGTTGGTACCAGAATCCAGCTGTCTCCCCCGACGCCAGAACACCTTTTGACGTTGGGACGGAAGTGATAGGAGGGGTGTGAGGGAGGAGGAGGCAGGGTTGGTCAAGTCTCGCCAGGCCGTTTGCTATTGCAGCTTACGATTTTAATCTTGTCTGCATGGACTGTGGTCTGATTATCCAGCTTGAACGTCGCATCCTTGATGAGAAACGTCCAGACTTCATCGCAGAACCGATACGTATCCAGGTGGCCCTATTAGCGGGTCTCGTATTAGTTCCTCAAAGTCTTAATTCTGCTAGCGGAAGACGAGACTTGCCTTGAACGACAGCTTTGCCTTCACCTTGTCCGCCAGCACCTCCGTAATGACCCGGTCAAAATTCGAGAGGATCTTCATGGCAAGCTGAGGTTCAATTCGCCCCTCATTGATCAGGTCATCCAGCGTGTCGGTCAGAGACAGGCCGATACTGAGGGAAGAACAGGAGAGCCGTTAGTCCACTGGCACGGAATCAGGAGCTCAACAACGCTGTACTACCTGCTGCCCCGATAGAGCTCGTAATATGCCTGGGCGCTCATGGTCGCGGGCTGGAATGCGAGGAACAGATGAAGTTGCAGCAGCGAAAGGGAGCTGGCGGTTGACGAGAAGGCAGATGCAGTTAGCGCCATCACGTGCATCACCAGAGGGAACAACAGATCACAGGCAATACTGATATCTACAGCTTCACTCGACGACCAGCTTGATGACCAGGGGCTGCAGTGCCGGCGTCCAATTCACAACGTCGCCCGTGTTCTGGAATTGCAGGGAGTCTGTTTGCGAGCTCCGAAGACGGCCAACGCCACCAGTAATGCAAGTTGCAGGCATCAGAGAGAGCTGCGTTCGGCCCAGCTTCCGACACGAACGTTCTGACAGCGTTGGCCAGAAATTCTCCGCCAACCCTGTCGATTCCAACAGCTGCAGGCCGGCGTGCTGACCCTTGCGTGCTTTACGATCTCTCGCTCCAGACCTGCAGCGGAACATCAAGGAAGCATACTCGAACTCCTGCTGCAGTTGCCAGCTCGGAAACAGGCCTTCATCTAACCCCAACACCGAGTGACTTGAAAGTTAGATCTGCTCGATACTTGGCCCCCTTCCTCGGAGGCTCCCATCCTTCACAAACTCCCCTTTGTATCTAGAACCTGGCTGCTTTCACTGATCTCCAATTGTTTTAAATACACCCACAGTCCTTCTTGACTCCTCACTTCTCACTTTACTTCTTCGACATTACAGATCATCTCTCAAGAAACTTGCCTTTTCCAAGCGAAGCTTATCTACAAACCCAAGATGCCTTCTATCAAAGCTATTAGCGCCGCCCTCCTCGGGTCTTGGTAAGGGAACTCCGCCTCTTGAGACCAGGAGACCTCCTAGCTGACTCTTTCCAAGTGCCTTCCTCTTCGCCGCTGCAATCGAGCAGCGTGACGCAATGGTTACGGACGCTGCCCCGCCGCACTCCTGCTATACGGCAACCATCACTCAGCCATCTCCACACATTCGCTGCTCGGATTTCAACACCAAGACGTGCGACCCTATCTTCTGCCTTCGAGCTGAGACAACCTCCATTCCGTGCCCAGACAAGGACTGTCCAGTTACGCCAACCTCGATCAGCTACACGCCCTGCCAGACGGAATGCTATCCGAGCTGCCCCACGGTTACTATCAGCTGCTCTTCCACGCTTCCTGCTACCGAGTACTAGGCCAAGGGACCTGCTAGTTTGATGCACCATCAGAGCTTTGGAGGGTGGAGAAGCGGAGTGGGGGATTAACGTCGTTGTGTTTTGTGCATATCATACCATTTGTATCTTATTGCGGATATGGAGCTATAATTCCGGAGAATACTCCCAATTGATATGTCTTACAGAGGACCTCAAACTTTTGAAATTTGGCTTTTTGAAGAGTACGCTTAATTGCTAGTTCCCGCTGATAATTATGGGGCACAACAAACTGCTCCTGTAGTCTAACGGCTTGCACAATGAAACCAACTCCATCTGAGAAACTTTTGCAGATCCCCCTTGACAGGAGTAAAATTGGACCACAGTCTCCCCGGTGTTCGCACGGAGCACAATACACTCAAAGTTCCCCAAGAGCCAAATCAATTCAAATTCCCCCCAGACAAGCGCCAACTTTCCAACTCCCAACCAACTTCCCATTGAAAGCCTTTTTTGTTAAGAATAGAAATCAGACAAGAAAAAAAAAGAAAAAAAGAAACCTCCCGCTTGGACCTGCGCTCCAACAATGCACTCCCCGGAACCGGGCTGCACGAGCTAGTAGATCATGCAGGCCCTCTGAAAGCCCAGAATCGGCCGCCCCAACTCGCGGTCTCCGTATTCGGCTGGGGTCTTTTTCTTTCTTTCCCCCCCTCCCCGCCCCGCTGGATCTTGTTCTCGAACGAACATTTCTTCCCAGGGCGTAGCTATCTGGACGGGTGACGTCTGATGGCATACGCCAACCTGCTCATCCTCGTATCGACATGGCGCTGTCTTACGATTCACAGGGAGCAGGGTGTTGTTTTTTTTCAGCTCTAGGGAACTAGAACGGCTGCGAGACGATGCGGGACCCGATGGATCCCCTTTCAAAGGAGGTCCGCGGACTGCGTCCAACATGTCCAACGATTCTAGGCAAGTTTGGCACAGAGACAGAAGAGCGAAAGCTGACAATCAGTCCCGTCCAGGACTGCCTGACATTGAGGTATAAATAAGGGTCGACCTCCCGCCGTTGCAATCCAGTTTTTCAACTCATCAACCAGCTCATCGCAAACTCAAAAAGCCCTTCCGAACCGCAAAAACCACTATCCAACTCCTTCGAACACAAAAGCACTTCAGTCGAAGTAATTCCAAAAGCCTCCCCAAGTCAAAATGCGTTTCAACATTGCAGCAATCACCGCCTTCGTCGCCACCGTCATGGCTTCCCCCGCCCCGTACGTATATCACCACACGCTGCCATCAGCATTGAGCCTCTAGCATGGAATCCGTATTCCTGACTGACTCTGCCACAGGACCGCGGCCCCGCAGCCAAACCAGGTAGCGCCCAACCCACCCTGCTATACCCACCACACCAGCGTGTACCCGAACAACTGCGCGCCTATCAAGGACTGCGTCACGCTTCCATGCATCGTTGAGGAAACTCGCGGCTTGCCATGCCATACCGATGCGTGCCCGACCACCACCACCTCGCTGACGGTCCTGCCATGCACAACCACCTGCAGGGCTGGATGCGAAACCAGCACCGTGTACACCAAATCCCAGTGCTAGACGATTCAACGCGGAGGACAGGTTTCGTGACAGTGGCCGGGAAATTGGTTTAATCTGAATTGGTGTCTTAGCTGCATCGAACCTCCTTTTTTGTTGAACTTTGGGGGAAGAAATGGTGGTGTGTAACTTGGGGCAAATTTCACGCATGTAAATATGCACTCCGGGGGGAGTTGTATTTCTTTCAGGACCAAATGCACACAGTTTAACTCGGAAAAACACTTCCATATCAATATATCGGAAACTCAACACATAGCGTCGGTTTGGATCAAAATCCCAGAAAACGCAAAACAGATCTCGACCAGAACCAAAGAAAAGGAGAGGCGGCTTCAATTGAAGGTTCTCCTTTGGGAACTCACCCTTTCCCGTTCGAGGTGGTTTCGCAACCCATATCGTTATCGATTTCAAGAGTATTAATTGCTCGATACCATGCCCGCTAAGACACCCGCACCAATAATCCCCCCATCAGAGGCTTCTCTCAGAAATACGGACTTACCGCTTTCTTGGGGTCCATCCCAAATCACCAATCGGTCAATATATCGCTGACACGTTTCTTTGAAATGGGGATAATGTTGAATAATCCCGCCGGTATATGCAACCACTAATTCTTCTGGTCCGGATTGCCACCCCTCAGACTCAACAACAGAAGGTTTGTTATCAGACATATTGTTTGCGGCGTTAGGTGGTGTTGGTCGATAAATGTCTGTAAGTGTATCCGTGGAAGCGTTGAATTCTGGGACTATGATGTTGGAAGCTCTCCGTGGATTAGTGGCCCCATCATGACGGAGCTTGATCTCATCTTTGCAAGCCAGTAATCCGACTACCGCTGAGGCTATCAGCCCTGCGGATCGAGTCTGCACAACTCGGGCAACTTGTCGAAAAGCTCGCGCCGTAGCTATGTCCCAGTTCCAGCTACTAGATTCCGGTGGTGGTAGGGTGGTCTTCAGCTTCGCAACTAGGACGGAATCGGACGGTGTAGGTGCAACCACAGAAGAAAGATATGTCGTGCTCAATGCGTATCCTTGCACTAAATTTGCAGGAAGAGCTTTACTCGACAGGCCAATCACCGATGTTAAGTAATCGTAAAAGATCAACCTGACTAGTTCACCAATATAGCGGCCTCCCGTCATATATTCAAATGGCTGGAATCCTGGGCGAGCACATTGGTCGTCCAGCATTGAATCCCACTTGGTTGTGATCTGCAGTTCTCGTAAGGGCGGAGCGGCTCCGTTTATTGTCCATTCAGTATTGACAATTGTTTCGATTGCATCGGGATGCCGTGATGATACATGTGCGGCTTTTGATTCATGTAAATCTGATAATTTCATGGGAATGGTTGCATTGCAGCCTGTACCAACGATGATGCCCATGGCAACGCGGCTATTCGGTAGGGATTTAACCAAATAAGCGAGAGAGGCTAGAGTGGCAACGGTGTCATTCGTGATTGCAGCGATTTTTAATTTTGGCAAGGCAAATAACCTTCTCCGTTTCGCTGATGGCTCATCAAATCCATATGGCCGCCTAGTGTGCCTGTCATATCCCGCTAATAATATCTTCCCTAGGTTGAGGTCTGCCGAATTTACCCATTTGAATCCTTTACCCATAGGCATCAGGGTAGCTTCGGATAACGACTCCTGCCTTGCATGAAATTAGTGCTCAGTTCAATATCATAACCCAAAAGTCACTCTCGAAGTAGTGGAACCTTTGATCAAAGAGAAGCACGACAATTAGAGCGGTCTGCATTACCTACATCATCGGAAAGCTGAAGGTAATGCCCATCTCCAATTCTTCTGGCATTTCAAGCCCGTTTGAAAACTCCACGGCCAGACTGTCAGCGACGACCTCTGCCATGCAATCTCCTATCCATAGAAAAAGATCTTCCGCCTTGTCGGTCTTCAAATGTTCTCCTATCGGCCACGCTTTCTCCAACGTTCTCCGAACTCGATGACGCTGAGCTTTACGTATTGTCTCGCGCGACTTTTCACCATCGGAGCCGCTATCACTCTGGTCGGCTGCCTCTCCCAATAAGTCGATAAAGGCGACCCTCAGATTGCTTCCCCCCACGTCAATTGCTAAATAACGACCCGTTTCTTGGCCAGTGGGCAGCTGCGTGACAGGCGTTGGTAGAAATTGTTGATCAGAGGTTTTTGCAAGTTCGCTGTAGACCTTGGAGAAGCGACAAGCCAGCTGGTACAGCTTCGCATCGTCGACGATCAGAGGCCGTAGAAAGTTGTCGATGGCATACTCTTCGGGTAATTGCTTTTCTGGAGCATCCGGGAGTGCATCCTTCTCTTGACGACCATCATCCTCGTCATAGGATTCAACAGCCACGTTGTACTCTTCCTCCTCCGTTTTGCCTGTCAACGACATTTCTTTCGAACGATATCGGCTGGGAGACACGGACGTTACAGTGGCCCAAGGCTTCGGATCGCCTAACCAGATCTGATGGTCAAGACTTGGGGGAATTGGCTAGAATCCGAGTCTAATTTCACAACCCCGTTAGATATCAACGTAGTCGTAATCCGTATCGTCAAAGTCCTAGCATCCCGAAGCGGTCTCACGAGATCTATCTTTGGTGCATGTGCAGGTACCCGTCACCATCCACGCCGTATGTTGGTCCCAGCGGCAGTAGACAGAGGGTTGCAACGAGGGAAACGACGCTTCAGAAACGAC